TTTGAAGTTTCGGTAGTGTTCTTGTTCTCCTTCGTGGCCTTCTTTTTCTTCGCCTTCGTTGTCTTCTTCTTTTTTTTTTTAGTATTTGCAGTCGTCTTCTTCTTTTTCTTGTTATTCCTCGTAATTTTCATAGTCGTTGTCTTCTGCTTAGTAGTGCTAGTATTCTTCTTTTTCGTAATATTTTTTTTGTAGTTTCCGTAGTTCTTTGGAGCCTTCTTTTATTTTTCAAAGTCTTCTTCCTTTTGGTATTCTTCCTATTCGCATTTTTCTACTTCTTTGTAGTCCTTTCCATAATCTTTATTTTCTTCTTATTGTTCTTCTTCACAATATTTTTTTCGTAGTCTTAACTTTTTCTTCACACTCTTCGTAGTAGTAATAGTGTTGTTATTGTCGTCGTTCTTCGTCTGCTTTTTTTTCACAATCTTGTTATTCGTAATCTTCCTCTTCGTAGTCTTCTTCTTTGTAATGTTCTTGTTCTTCTTTTCCGTAAGCTTCTTTTTCTTATTCGTAGTCTTCTTCTTTGTAGTTTTCTTATTTGCATTCTTCTTTCTTTTTCTTTGCAATATTCTTTTTCTTCAGCATCGAGTCTTCTTGTTTTTGCAGTCTTCTATTTCTACTTCTTCTTTGCAGCCTTTTTCTTCGTATTTTCTTCGTCTTTATCATCAAGTCTTCTTTTCTCCTAGTCTTCTTATTCTTCTTCATTGGCATTTTTTCTTCTTCGTCATTGTCGTCTTATTCTTCTTCTTCTTCTTCTTCTTCTTCTTCTTCTTCTTCTTCTTTATAATTATCTTCTTTTTCTTCGTAGTCTTGCTGTTTGTGATCTTCTTTTCTTTTTCGTCATCGTCATCTTCTTCTTCTTGTTAGTGTTCTTTTTTGTAGTCTTTTTATTCACGTTCATCATCTCTTCTTATTTTTCTTTGTCTTTGTCGTTGTCATAGTCTTCTTCATATTCATATTCTTTTTCTTCTTCTTAGTCTTCTTCATTGTCATATTCATCTTCTTTGACGATGACAAATGATAGAGAAGAAGAATAAGAAGGCAATGAAAAAGAAGCCTACAAATAGGAAAAAGAAGAACAACACCACCACCACTACAAAGAAGAAGATGAAGAATAACAACACTATGAAGAAGAGAAGAAGACTATGAAAAACAATTGCAAAGAAGATGACGGTGAAAAAGACGATGGCTACAAATGAAAAGAAGAAATATACGGAGTAGACTACAAAAAATAAAAATACGAAGAAACAGTAGACTACAAAGAAGACTACGAAGAAGTAAACTACGAAAAAAAGATTGAAGAAGAAGTAGAAAGAGAAGAAAACTACAACAAAAAAAAAAGGGAAGGAGGAAGAAACTACGAACACTTAAAGGACATTCCCCACACCCACATAACAAACCTGCATACTCTTACAAGTGAAAGCATGAAGCAGAACAAGCCCTGAACTTTGTATCACAACCTCGAACTTACCATGTGTTCAGATAGCTATAGGATAGAATGTCCTGAATATAGATAGTAATCTACTTTCGATTTGTGGAAAGTGAGCACTTAAACCAGATTTTTACTTTCGATTTGGGCAAATGAAACAAAATAGATCAACATATACACGAAAGAGAATTCACAAGCAGAGGCAACTGAAGCTAAAGGAACGTAACACTCAACAAAACTTAAATAGAGGAACATAGCTATATGAAATTAAAATGGTTTTCCTACCCCAAAAAAAAAATTGCCTATATGAAATGTGACAGATAATGATTATGATAACACCTGACATAGCCAATAAGGACACACATTCTGTCATGGCTGGCTCAACATGGATACACAAAAATCTGAAGCATCCCTGGCCATACCATAAGCCAATAGAGGTGAAATATCTAAAGTTTGCAATGCATTATAGTCATCCGACCCAATAAAAAACAATAACACAACTTATCAATCAAAAAAGGGATTATGATTCTGCGCAAACAAGAAGTTAAGAAAGAACTTACTATAGGGTTTTGCAACAATAGCTTGTTAGCATCTAAATGATGAAAATGGCATTTTACCTTAGAATGAAAAGGATTAACAGTTGACAAAATATGGTACCTGATATTATGCTGGACTGTATTGCTACTGTAGACCTTGGAGACACCGTAAAGTGGGAGTTTGTAAACCTAATAATCGAATTATGTTACAAAATGATGAATTATTTACTCCCAAGTTAATGGTGGCCAATTGACTCAACAGAACATCAAGTCAGGTTGTGTGGAGGAAGTTGGCTATCTGGATTACACATATCTACACCTGATAAGAGAAAGAGGGATAAAATTAATAAAAACTCAGAGAGAAATGATTTCTACAGCATAACCAAGATAAAAAAGAGAGAACTTGCCTTTTTCAATTTGTGAGTGATGGAATGTCTCCATCACCTTTGAGAATAAGGTTCTTCAAAGCAATTCCTAGCTGCAGCTGGGGACCAAAAGATATGTATAAGAATAGGAACGTGTTGTTTATTCTGATTAAGAGAACTTTCAAGGGAGAGTAGCAATTCATGTGAAGCTTCCATGTGAAAATTCTGCTTAGGATTCTACTTGGGAATTTTCACAACAAAGTTTGTATGTGTTCCCCTTTTTTCCCTTTTACCTCCCATCTGCTTTTTTGCTTCCCTGTCAACTTTTTCTATGATACCAGCGCAGTCAATTAATCAATCTGTGGACCGTAAAGAGAATAGAAGGGGAGAAGAGAAAGATGGGGGAGTTAACAGCTTGAAAAAAGAAACAATAGGCTTGAAAAAATAGCATTAAGGGCCAACGAATATAATGAGTTCATCAAATTTTATATTATTGATTCCATCTACATTTTCAAACTCAAGAACTGTGTTATGATTAAGCATGAAGATAGCATATTCTAACAGATAAAAGAAAATCATCACCACATTGCCCAACAGACATTTGGCCAGTGAAAAAAATTAATTATAAGCAATAGGGTATGAAACAATAAAACTTGCACATATGAGATTAGAGACAATTGACGAGAGATAAATATCACCGCCATAGTAGATTCAATCGTCAATAGAACCATGGATTAAGACAAAGGAACACGATGGTTGTGCATATGCAAATAAAGGAAAAGGAAGATATAGGGTTGAATAGCTTCTCTGCTATGAGCTGTAACAAGATGAACCCTTCATCTACTAATGAAATTGGTGATCTACCCAAGGCGAGCCTTGATTGCAGTCGAAATACCCAATAGTTTCAAATTTTCAAGTTTTAGTGATGCTTTATTCATTGGCAAGGATGGTGGCCAGACTTTTTGGTTTCTTTGGTAACTGTCAAAAGTGGGTGAAAGTAAAGTAAAGAGAAAGAACCTGTTAAAAAAAAGTAAAGAGAAACAATCAGACAATGGTTTTTCATCTTTCTGTCTCTAAAATCTGATTTGTTATGGGTTGTTTGTGTTCTTAACCCTTAAGCACAACCACTTTAGGGAAGAGGAGGTCGCCATCAACCGTGGTCCTGTTTGGGTGTGTAGAGGTTGTGGGCAGGGGTGGGTGGGTAACACGGTGGTTGGGGTTGTTGGGTAGATGGTGGATGGGAGAAAAGCAGAGAGAAGATGGAGAGAAAAACATACTTGGAATCGATGGGTGGCTCTCGGTAGCGTTCGGCGGCTGTCAATTTATGGTGGTGTGCTGCTGTGAGTGAGGGTGAAGAGGAAGGTGATGAGGGAGTGATGGAGAGTGGTGAGGGATGAAATAAAAGAGAGAAGGGCCAGTGAGACAGGAAAGCAGAGGAAAAGAGGGGTGGGTGAGTGGAGAGAGAGAGACACTGGTTTAGAAAGAAAAGGATACCGGGGGCCGTGAGTGTGGCCGAGAGAGAGAGTAAATTAACGTTCTAGTCGGCGTGAGATAGAGATAGGAAATTAACGTTCTAATTTGGAAAGTAGACACGCGGGAGAGAATGAGAACATCTTTGAGACGTTGACAGAAGAAGATTAGGAAACTTATGGATGTTAGGGTTAATTAGGATAAGCAAGATAAAAAGTTTTTATGTGGGAAAAAAATTTAAGTGGTGCTTTTGGTTAATACATTGAGTTATAATTATTTATTGAATTAATTCTTTATTTATCTTGCAACAATCTGAACTACTATATTTTATTAATTTAAATGCTAACTAATTCACATTTAATTTTGATTAAAAAAATCTCTAAAATTTTTATCTAATATTATACTCAAATTCATACTAAATCACTAGAGAATTGTAGTGCTTGCATAATAATTCTATGACTATAAATATTTCAGAGTTAAGTAGTAAAAAATATAAGTTTCATCTTTTTAACGTCTTAAAAAATTATATTCTAACTTTATCATGCATGTTAAAATAAAATTAGCCCTTAACATGATAAATAAATATTGTTCGTACAACTCTAATGTCATTTATACAATTGATCTTAAGGCATACTAATAAGAGGAAAAACATTGTAATGCTTTTTTAATGTTCAAATTATAATTATGGAGAAAATCCTAATCCCATGCTTAACTCCTTAATGTCACAAAAGGCCATGCTGCAACGTTTGCTTTTTTGGTTAAAGGAGGATGTTATATTGCAATTGTTTATTACAGATGCAATTAGATTTGTACGAATGTGTATAATTGATTTGTGTTTGAATTGAAGAATAGGGCTTCGATGATGGGATTAGTGGTCAGAGGGGGGCTAAGACCATGGTAATGACTTCATTGATGCACGATGATCATTGTTGAATTTAAGGTTTGATTTTTGTGAATTTAATTTGTTTGTTTGAATGAAATTTGCCAAGTATGTTTAATTTGAATGAGAATAGAGTATTTAATTAATTTTCTCTAACTGTTCAAATTTTTTGTAATAAAATCATTACCACTTGAGTAGTAAACACCAATCTCAAAATTCTTGGTGCCCAAAGAAATTTTTAAATGGACCAAATAATACTTTTGTCAAAGTGCCGAACAAAGTATTCGAGAACTATATTTTTGTAGTGTAGCTTCTTTAAAGCAATGCAGAGCATCCTTGTGACAAGTTAGTTGCTACCGATCACAGGTTAGATTGTTCTTAAATTTTGTCATTTGTTTGTGATAGAATTCTGTAATTCATGGTGCCTCTCTAAATGTACTATAACTAGTCATTTATTCCATGTTGTTTTTATTGTTTTTAATTTTTTTATGCCAAGTAACTTTCGTGTTAGATTTTATGCGTTTTATATATACTAGCAATGCACCACGTGTGTTATACATGAATAGTTTTTATACATAAAAATTAATATAATATATTTGTATATGTGTATATGAATTAAATATTATCTCAAATTTATCAGACTTAATTTTTCATTACTCATATTCTATTATAGGATTATAAAAACTTAGTATATTTATAAAATTCGTTATTCTAACTATAAGAAAAAAGCTAAAAACAAAAAATAGTTAAAGTTATATATATATATTTAGAATCTTGTGATTGAGAGTGATTTTTCAGTAATGTTTGAGAAAATAATTTTTTTTAAATTCATTAGATTAGGATTTAACTTACAATTCCTTGAATAAAATAAAAGTAATTGTCAATATACTACTTAATTATATTGAAACTTTACTGTAATTAAGGATTAATTAGATAAATTAGAATAAGATTTAATATAATACTCTATAATGTATATTTTAAAACATATCAACATTTTTAAAAATTAAAGTTTTTCTTAAAAATAAATTACAAACTAATTTCACATAAAATCTTAATACAATTTAAAAAGTTTATTGTAAACTAGAAACTTTATATTGATGTAGCATAAAATAATTTTTAAAAATTATATATATAATTATTTTTTATCTTAGAAATAAAATGGTTAAACTTTTTAAATAAAAAAATTAACATATATGCGAATATTTATATTTTTCCATATGAGAAGAGTAATATTAGATTGATGAAGATTTTTAAACACTTTATTGACAATATAATGATGCATATTTTTAAAGATGATATAGTCAATAAAAAATTTTCATCAAAATTGATATTTATATAAAGAGAATAGATAATTAAAAGAGAAATTAAAAGTAACTGAGAGATTTAAATACATAAGGAGATAATAGATAATTTAAATATTTAATTGTGAAAGGATCGAGTGGTCTTTATAACTTTTTTATAAAGATAAAATAGAGAATTAAATTTTTTTCATATTAAGATATTTTTATTAATAGTATAAATGATAACCAACTGTTTGTTATGATATTATACTTAAAATAACTCAAACTATTTGGATTTTGGACGTTTTTGAGATCTTCTGTGATTTTAATATTGTGATCAACTTGCCTTTGACCTAATTTAATGCAAAGATTTGCCAATCCACTTTTTCTCATTTCTCTTCATCTCAGTTTTCAATTTCTTGCAGTAATCTTCTTTAGTCAGAATTTCTTAAGATAGGTCAGATATATAATATAAATTTAGAATTTGTGTCTTATAAATTTTTCTTTGCAATATTGTTAGATTAATCATTTGCCAATGCAAAAATAAAAAAATAAAAACAAAAATCATTTCCCAATATATATATATATATTTGCAAGCTCAACTGTTCGTTAAACTCAAATCAATATTGTCTAGAGGACACAATCGACTTGCGTTTGTTATAGGAGCGCTCTCTCTGTCTTCTATATCGTATCAGTGATCTCTTCATGGATTCGATACCCTCCGAAACTCTAGCTTCTCAAGCCCCAACCAATGCTCCACCTGAACTTGAGCCTGATCGTTTTTATTTTCCTCCTCAGAAACCCTAGCTTACTCTTCTCAAACACCACTTCCGTCTTCATCTGCGCCTCCGCCTCCGCCTCCTCCTCCACCACAAACCCTAGCTTCTGACGATCCGAACCCGAATACTGTACCCGAACCCCAAATACAAAACTCGAATCAACCTCCCCGGGATCATAGCAATGGCGGTGTTTACGTCACCCAGACTAGCGCAGAAAAGGATAATTCCGGCGTCGAAGAGGGCACAACGAGTAGCCGACGGCGGCGGCGCAGCCGGTGGGACCCTCTCCCGGACTCTGAGGCGGAGAATGGCGACACGAATAATGGGCCGAAGAAGCGTAAGTCCCGATGGGCAGACGATGAGCCCCAACCAGCCTTTCAGCTGCCAGATTTTATGAAAGACTTCATTGGTATGGACATTGACCCCGAAATTCAAGCTTTGAATGCTAGACTTCTTGAAATTAGTCGTATGTTGCAATCGAACTTGCCTTTAGATGATCGTCCCGAGGGCGCTAGATCGCCATCACCCGAACCTATATATGATAACTTGGGAATTCGAGTGAACACTAGAGAGTATAGAGCCAGAGAACGACTTAATAGAGAAAGACAGGAGATAATTTCGCAGATAATTAAACGAAATCCGGCATTTAAGCCACCCGCGGATTATAGGCCACCAAAGCTTCAAAAGAAGTTATATATACCAATGAAAGAATACCCAGGTTACAATTTTATTGGATTGATAATTGGGCCGAGGGGGAACACGCAAAAGAGGATGGAAAAGGAAACGGGTGCCAAGATTGTGATTCGGGGTAAGGGGTCAATTAAAGAAGGTAGGATAGGGCAGAAAAAGGATTTGAAGTTTGATCCGGGAGAAAATGAGGATTTGCATGTGTTGGTGGAAGCAGAGACGCAGGAGGCGCTTGATGCTGCTGCAGGGATGGTGGAGAAGCTTTTGCAGCCGGTGGATGAAGGGTTGAATGAGCACAAGAGGCAGCAGCTCAGGGAATTGGCTGCTCTGAATGGGACAATAAAGGAGGATGAGTATTGTAGGTTGTGTGGTGAGCAAGGGCATCGGCAGTTTGCATGTCCTGCTCGGATGTCAACATTCAAGAGTGATGTGCTGTGTAAGATTTGTGGAGACGGTGGGCATCCGACAATTGATTGTCCTCTAAAAGGGACAGCAGGTAAAAAAATGGATGACGAGTATCAAAATTTCTTAGCAGAATTAGGTGGCACCATTCCAGAATCTGTTACTAAGCAAAGTACGGCATTGCCTATTATGGGTTCAAATATTTCAGGAAGTAATCCCCCTTGGGCATGTGGTAACAGTAATGGGAGTTCGTTGCATCCTGGACTTGGGAGCACTGTAGCTAAGATTGGAAAAGAAATTGATGATACAAATCTGTATATTGGATACCTGCCACCAACTTTCGATGATGATGCTCTGATACAATTGTTTTCTCCTTTTGGTGATATAGTAATGGCTAAGGTTATCAAGGATAGAGTGACTGGATTGAGTAAAGGTTATGGTTTTGTTAAGTATTCTGATGTTTCTCAGGCCAATCAGGCCATTGCTAGCATGAACGGTCATCATTTGGAGGGGAGAATGATAGCAGCACGAGTGGCTGGTAAGCCCCCCCAACCAGCTGTAAACCCTGTAGCTCCTGCTCCAACAGTGCCCAGCTATCCTGGTCACAATCAAAAAGTTAATGGATACCCATCAGGTCAAAATGGACCAGGTGGCCCTTTTGGAAGTGCACCACCTGCAAGTTACATGGGTCCTTCTGTTCGATGGGGACCACCTGCTCCTCCTCCATATGCTTCTTATGCCCCTCCTCCTCCTCCTCCTCCTGGGTCAAATATGTACACCCTTGTCCAAGGTCAGCCTATGCCCCATTATGGTGTACCATATCCCCCACTGGCACAAACAGCTGCCTCTGGTGCCCTACAGCTGAACATGCCTTCTGGTGAAGCCCAGCAAAGCTACCCCCCTGGAGTGCAAACTCAGAATAACACATCTGCACTATCTGCAGCTTCTGATATTTATGGAAGCACAACAACTGCAATGCCACCATATTTGCACACTGCATATCCCCCAGCTTCGCTGGGTTATCCTTCTTATTATGCTGCAGCTCCTCCACCCCCGGCTGTATCTTATTCAATGGTGGACCAACAGAGTTTTGCAAGTGCACCATGGGCTTCAAACCAACCAGGGCCTCCTGCAGACCAAAGTCAGCAGAATAGTTCTGGTGCAGATTCCGATTATGAAAAGTTCATGGTAGAAATGAAATAAAACGAATTTTGTCTTGAAAGTAAGTATGCAACTCCTCCCCCCCCAAAAAAAAAAAATAAAATAAAATAAAAATAAAAAAATAAAAAATTGGTGCCCTTTGATTTGGTTGAATGCAATTTATAGTTATTTGTTGTGGTCTAAGTTTTTAAACATATGTCCTTTTTTCGGTATAGGAAAAATCATTAATTGTATATTTGTGACTTCACCCAACCTGGCTAGGAAGATCTGCTGTAGATGTATCCAATGAATGAGTCATTTATCCCCCGAGCATTTTGTGCCGATCTTCCTGTGGGGCATTAAATTAAATGATAGGCAAACGAACCTTCATATCTGTGATTTGGAAAATGAGTGCTAACATATGGAAAGGAAGGATATAACTTACCAGAATTTTTTTTTCAATATTGTGAATGATTCTTATGTTACATTGTTTAAAATGCCTGTTCATTTGTTATTGTGATCAATAGCAATCATGTTTACTTCTCGCATGCTGATGTTGTTGTAAACTAGTGTTTGGTTGATCAAAACAGACCGCTGGTCGCCTTGGCAGAGTTGATATCTCGACAACAAAATGTTGCTATAAATTTTGTATTCCAACTTTTTCAGATTTAAATAAAATGGCTTAGGTTTACAATAGTTTCAATATCATCGTTCCATCCTTCACTCATTTTGTTTGATGTTTTCTTTTTGGGTGTGTGTGTGTTTGGGCAAGTTGGATTAAAAATATCTATTCTTTTTCCTTTCGAGTGTCTTACGTAAAATAGCCTCTGAATTGCTAGAGGTAAAGATGCAAGTACAATTATGCAGGGAGCTGCAAAAGCTGCATGGATGTATACATATATATGTCAGTGTTACCAGTCATTTCCACTTACTATGCAACCTACATTATTCTTATCTATACAGTTTGTTAACTTTTTTGTTCATGGTCATACTCTTTGGCAGGCATGATGTTTCTTGGAGCTCTTATCCGCATTTTTTTCTTACTCTTACTAAGGGTTCAACTTCTTGGAAGTTTCAGACTCACCCCTTTACTCTTGCTGTGCTGTTATTACAATTGCAGAGACATCTTAGCCAAATTCAGTTTGTTGTTCCCTGCAATGGGAATTTTTTAATGGTGATTATGCTACTGTTTACTTCAACTGCATATGGACTTCATTTCGTGATTTCCCTTTGAGAGTATCTTGATACTTATAATTTTCTTCCATTGTTTAAACTTTCTTGATTAACTTGTTAGTTGTTGCTAATTGTTTTGTGCTATTATGTTTATTTCATACAATTTGTCGTGACAGTTATGTATTTTTTTCTTACTTTGCTTAATTTGTATTTTCTTTTCAATTTAACTCTGCACGCTTTGTGAGGCATTGATATACATTGAAATTTATCTTTCTGGAGCCTGGCTGATGTGAGCTCCATGCATCTGGAGATTGGAAGGTGGCATGCATTAATTAATGAAGCATGGGTATGTGCAAGTTGTTTATGCTCACAGCTTTAATTTTCGTGTATCTTGATTCTTTCAATTCCATATGTTAGCCTAAGGTGCATTTTCAGCTTTTGTTTGCAGGTCAGTGGACACATCACATACTGTTGACCCTTGGCCCTTCTGTTAACAGACGTTGGCTGTCTAATTTTTATCTGTTGTTGTTTTACTGTTTCTTTCAACTTCTTATGATTATTTTCTCGCAAGAGTGGTCAATTTTGCCTACTTTTTTGGTCCTGTTGTGGAGACTTTGTGCTTATGCCATATAGATTTTTTTTTTCTTTTGTATTTTTTTTTTTTTGGGGGGGAGGGGCGGGGTTTGTGATTCATATAAATGTTTATATACTGAAGCACAATTCCAAAATACATGAGTAAATTTAAGTTATTTAGGTACACCTCTCATGTTTATTCAAATATATTGGAACTTTAATGGCATTTTTGTCAACTTTTATATTTTATGGGATAGTTTAATTTTGAGGTTTCTAAATTTAGCTACATTGGACCCACCGACTGTTGTTATACATGGGGCTTTTATAACATATTGGAATTGCGGTATGAATGTTTGGGTTCTCAGTTACCTCTTGCTTCCAGTTGAGGTATGATTAGAACTCAAGTTTTCGTCCAACAAGCTTTTTCTGTATGGATACAATTTTTTGATGACTTTTCGTGATTCATGACACATGCTTGGCTTTGGATCTTCTCATAAGAATATCTGCTTCCTGTGATAAGAATGGAAGCTCACTTGGATATGCATTGGTTGAGCTTGATTGTTCTATAAACTATGCTCGCTCAGCGAACCAGGGTTTGAGTTCTTTTATTTCAGGCTGTCATCTGATCGTGTTGTGTCGTGTCATGTTTTGAGGCCGTGTAAGTCGTGTTGTGTCTAAATTTGTTCAACCCATAACAGATCCAATTGTAATCATATATATTGTTGGGTTCGTGTCATGTATACGATCCATTATTAACAGGTCTGGCATGTTCACCTTTTTACCCCCTAAACCTGCTAAGGTTAGACCCAAATCCTCCGACTCTGGTGTCAGTTTCATGTTGGGTTTGCGTGCTATGTGGAGAATTTTCAGGCCTACTTTGAATTCATTTTTCATTTTCAAGGAGCTCTAACTTTGTTTATGAAAGATCATAATGCTATATGGAGAAAGGAATTGCTCAACCTGTTAGTGTTAGATAGATTGTGAAATTCAGGAGAATAGTGTTGAAATAGGTGGAAAGCCTATTATGAATTAAAGTATTCCTAATTTCATCAATGCTTATAAATAAAAGAGAAATTTATAGGACATTGTGATTCTGATGCTAGTTTATTATTTTGAGATATTTGTGTTTAGCAGTGGAAAGAGGTCACAACAATATGATGATGATCGTCTGAGATCTAATAATTCATAACCCACTTACTATCTCCTGCTGAACAACTTTTTTCTTGAACTCTTTTCTATCCATGGTAGTCACAGTTACTCTGGAAAACTTTTTTTAAACCGGACCCTTTTTTATGCAAGTTATCTTACTCTTTCTAATACTGGGCTGACTTCACTTATTTTTTTTTTATTATGTTCATTTTGATTTTTTTTTCCATCATACCTGTATATAACATTGAAACATTTTAAACCTTTGAAACAAATATACTCTTTGTAACTATTACAGATGATTTTTTTTAATTGGATGATCACTTTTGGAATGCTTTCGAAATTTGTGAGACAGGTCTGTGGTCAGATTTCAGTGGCATTGAATTGAGCATTTTCTATGCACAGTTTGTGTATACATGTTTTACACTTCACATTGGTATCTGCTTGTTTGCGCAACTTTTGCTCAGTAGACGTCTTACATGTTTCATATGGAAGATTTTACTCTTTTTACTTTTGGGCGCTGCAGTTTCAGGTTGTATAATTAATCATCTTGTATGCCAACTTGTATTTTATGGAACAAATCAAACTCTTTCCATGGAAGTTATGCTAAAGAATTCTTCCTTGCTTATCTGTTTCCCATTTATCCTGGGAAATTACCTACTATACTCTTTGAAATGCAGTATGCTCATTCGGTGGTGGTCATTTTTGGTGTATTTTATATGTATGAAGTCCTCGGTAGGTAATTACTTCAGCTCTAATCTATCTGTTGAGTAGCTTTCTTGATGCTTATTGCCTTTGAATTCTCTGTGAAAGAAACCTTTATGGGGCTTGTCTTAGCCATTAGTTTCATTCACTTGTGCTATTGGATGTTGGTTGTCAGAGTATGATCTGTGTTTTTAGTGACAGATTTAGTTGTGCCTGTTTTGATCAGTGTCTTGGTCATGTAAGGACTGCTCCAATCTTTGTTGATTGTCCGGTTTTTGGTGTACTAAAGGAGTATCATTTCCTGCTTAGTTTAATAGATGGTTTTTGAGTTGCATTGAATAATTTATGTACCGTTTATAACTCTTCATGCTCCAAGCACCAGTAATGGTGTTCTATCATTTGCAACACGATAATCTTTAGTATTTGTCATCTCTTTTACTAGTTTAACAGAAAATAGCTTGTTAACTTTGATCAATTTTAACTTCTTACCTGCATGTCATATTTTAGAAATTTTTATTTGTTTTTTTCATGTCAAAATATGCAAGTCTTTTAGTGTACCATTTATGTGATAATATGCATATAGGTCGCTGTAAAAATAGTAATCAATTATGTTGTTATTATTATTTTTTTTTCTTGAATAATAGTAATTAGAAAAAGTTAGATTTATATATGACTGCCGCTTTGTTTATGCCTCCATCATTTCAAGTTGGTAGAGAAGTAATTCATGTTAAACCGATTCTTCTTCTCTTGTGAGTATTTAGTTAATCAAATTTTCTTTATTTTGTTGTGGGTAAAAATCATACTTGGTCTGAGTTTTTGGTTTCAATTTGGTCATTGAATTTTCAATTGTTCTAACTTAGTTACTCAATTATTAATTTTGTCTCAATTAAAGTTTTTTCATCCATTTTCCCTGTTAGATCAACACTAACATCGATCAGATTGGATTAATCTCTAGTTGATCTAACAATGGAAAGTGATTGAGAGATTAAATTGAAATGATTAAAATTTCATGGACCAAATTGAATTTAAAGGCAAAGTTTAGGAACCAATTATGATTCTTATCCTTTTGGTATAAGATGGTCTAATATATTAGGTCATATCCAGATATAAGGCACTCTAATGAATAAATTTAAATTTAAAAGGTGAAATATGACCATTAGATTGAATGAGATCATTAAAGATTTTCTTTCATTTGATGCTTAAGAGGAGGTTTGGATTCATTTTGTTTTTAAACCAATCTTGTAATAAGCTTTAACATAATGGGCCTTAGATTGATTCAAATATAGGTCAACTTTTAGAAGTTTCTAGGAAGATATTAATGTAAGTTGTTAAGGGATGTATTAATGTAAGTAAATGAAGTTGATAGAAATATTTGAAAAATGTATTAAATTAGGTAGTTGTGATAGGTAGACTTATTATAAGTAGTTGGATGCATTAAATATATTTTTGTGGAAGATGATAGAAGAACCTTATATGAAGGGTCTTTGTGTAACAATTTGAATTATCCAAGTTTAAGTATTAATGTATTTTGAGAGTTATTTTTGTTTTTTGTTTTCTCTGTAGATTCAGAACGTTTGTGTTCTTTGTACTTGGAAATGGTAATTTCCTTGTGTCGCTCAATCTACTTGTTGCTTCTTTCTGAGGAAAAGATTAAATGTTAGTTTTAGTTTGTTTTTACTCAAATTTAAATTTGAATAAGAGATTGAGCAAGGATTGAAGATGTTTTTTCTTGAAATCTTGTTTGAAGGGATGAGAATAAAATAGAAGGCAAGAATTTGATGTTAAAAAGACAAAGCCAAGTAGTATGGCATGGTTCTGACAATCGGAGGAGACTCGTTACATTACAGGAGTTTGCAGGAGTTGTTCTTGTTCCTCTCTCGACTTCTACTCACAATACCTCACTCCAGTTAGGCCTGGACAAACTTGGGGTATGTACAAGCTATTAGATCAAACAACATATTCCTTTTTAGAAGACGAGGTACAAAAAGAGCCGTTGGGGAGGAAAGAGTGTGGGTGGTGGTGGGTGGGTGGGGAAGTGTGAGATGAGAGAGAGAGATGTGTGTGTAAACGTGCTCCCATGAACTGATTTGACCCGGATTTGGTTTAAAAATTCTGGAACTTGCTACTTGCAGCAATAAACTTCGGCAATCAGAAGCAAAGTGAAAATTTCTCCATGAAAAACAACCTATACAGATAAGGGTTGACCTTAGAATCAGTTCGATTAAAAACTCGTTTAACTTATTTGCATTAAATGACTAAGCTCGAGCTCAATTTTGATACTCGTTTAATGAATGTGCCCAGTCCAAGTAATAATTTATCCCGCTTGTAAACATACATATAGATGTTCAGTTCGACACCCTGTATATCGTAGAAATCCACGTCTGCACACGATGAAAATAATCTCTTGATACTCACGCTACAGAGACAGCCAGGATCAAAACATAGGTACACACAGACTTGCTTTCTCTCTCTAATAGTACAGTACAATATTCTCAAACTGCCTCACCATGTCTGGCTGATAAGCTCACGTAAACTCAATTAAGGACCATGGAGTTGAGGCTTGGCCACCCAAAATTAGAAAACCTGAGAAGAAATGGTGAACTTGGTAACGTGTCACAAAGATCAACAAACATCTTCATCATCAGTGCTTACTGTTGTACTTCACTAGTCTGCAAATCGAAGGTGTGAAAATGGCCTATCCACATAGGGTTCAGGGCTAAGACTGCAAACATTTAACTTTTCCGAACTTCCATAGTGATAGAAGCCTTGAGCACTGCAATGCTCATTTTAGAATATTTAAGGTGAGAGAAGAACAGTCAAATTAGCAACTTATCCCCTGTTCATCCAGTTCTTGTTACTCAAGCTCTCATTGAAGTGGCAGAAGCATCCTTTGTTACCTAAGACACTTTGTCGGAAGGGAAAGAATAAGCAATACTGTAGGAAAATATCATAAATTTCATCAGGCAATGCAAACCTCATTGAGAGAAGACTAGGATGAGGTGAGTTGAGTCGAGTCGAGTCAAGCAATGCAAACCACCAATCATGTATACCTCCATTGCATCCCACTTCCTCTGGCTGGACCTTTTTTCACATTGTTTTGTTCACCTCTGTTCCCAACTCGAGGCATTTCCATTTCTGCAACCTCAAACTACCCCCTAGTCAGAAGATGATGTTGCATTCCTCCATAATTATAACAGTCATAACTCTCAAGTTATTGGAATACATATGAGCCTTGCAAGTTAGACTAACTGTATTCGACTCACAACCAAAGTCAACCATCATTTTTGAACTAGAAGCCACTCGAAGAAATCCTGAAAATTTATGATGATTCGGGTATCTGTATCTGGTTCAGCCTGCTAAACCAAATCGAATGCAAAATCATGTGGAACATATCATATCTGATTGGTCTCGGGTTCCAGAGAAAATGCCTCTGCAACCCCTTGACATTAGTCTGCATGGTCAGATATTGTCCCATAGGGATGGCTAATAAAATCTCCTTCAATTTAGGAATATCCTTCTCACCCACGATCACAGAAAACGCACTCCAATCAAGCACTTCGTTCAATGGAGGGACAAAATTATCAGCAATAATCACCGGAACACACTCATAATATATGGCCTCCACGATCCTGGGGCTATTCACTTCATAACCCATTGGGCAGATGCAGTATTTGCTTGATTTCATATGTTGGACATAAGACATTATTCTGGACACTCTATTGGGCAATGGCCCATAAATCCTCATATCTTCGTCTTTGCCACGCCAGTACTTGAGAAGTGTTGGACGAACCCTACCATGCAAGTGACCAGCAAAAAAGGCAAGGATTGGACGCCGTGACGCTCTTTTTCCTCCAAGATTTCTAAGGGGTCTTTTGGGATTCCTTATGGTGGTTTCTGGGAGGGAAACATCCTTCCCAGCGACAAAGATACTTTCAGACACATCCGCATTGCAGAGAGCTTTAATGGTGTTCTTTTTCAGTTCCTCATGCTCAGACAATGTGTAGGGGCCCTACAAGAAATGATAGAGCAGAGGAAAGAGGTAAGAGAATGCAGGATGGGAGTAACTTGAAAGGTGTTAAGAAAAAAAGGAAGCTGGAATTCCAAAACAGGATTGATTTAAGTTTCTCTCTCTCTCACTCTCTATAGTGAACACACAAGCATTCACACAAATAAACACAATAATCTCAAGTATTAACCACACAATAACTTAGTGTTCACCAGCAGACTCGCTTAAATAGCGGTCATCTTCCAGAAAAAAAACAGCCTCACTCAGAAACTGATTTCACCAGCTGAAGAAGCTTTCACCTATAACTAAAATCAACTATGATATGCAGCAACTTTGGCTAATAAATGCTCCCATCAAAATTGAGGGAGAGTATAACAAGTCTAAGACGGTCACTTGCTGGGAAGGTAGCAAACAATGAAGACGACCTTTGGGTATGTAGTGAGCCATGTAGTCAGGGTACTATAAGATGGTAGTGTATTAGACAATAATATGCTCAAAGCTACGATCTGCATAAGAGTTATAGCTGGAACATTTACAAGCCCTTCGTGTGATTTAACAGCAGCCCTCTTCATATAAAGAGCTGCTACTGATCTCTAAGTGAATGTTACAAGGTTTTCCCAGGTAATCTCCATCACATGCTGTGTCAGTATTTGTCTAATCCAGTGGATGGAATCTTATTGTGTATAAGGGAAAGGAAAAGGATGATGGATGTTGCTTTGCTTTCATTTTACAAGAAAAAGATAATTTTTGTTTTGTGCTATGATAATGCACATTTTAGTATATTGAGTGCTTCATGATGGAATGCAACAACTGATGGATCACCAAGTAGCCAAGAAAAGAGAAATGAAGCGGAAAGAAACTCAATTCTTCTATGATCATGCATTCATGATCCAACACCTGGACCAAGCTGTTGTATGTAGTACTTGAATATATCCAATGTTGACACAATGTACAAAATTGTGCCTTAGCAGACCTGTAACATGTTCATCCAAAGGATCCCCAAATTCTTCAGTTTTGCGTCCTGTACTTTCATGTAACTTGCTTCGGAACAGTGCAATCTCGTATTCGAGTATAATGCAAACACAGGAAAGGGCACTCAACCATTATAACCAAATTGGTACTGATTTAAAGCAAAATTGCCAGCAACTCCTAATAGTTAGTTAATTGCAACATCAAACAGGCGCATTCCAGACTTTTTATAAATGAAACACATAAACACTGAATATATGTAAGCAAGAAAAGCATTAGCAAAACCAAACTATCATACCCAATCGTGGCAAGCAACTAGAAAATGATCCAATCCATGAGTACGGTTCCAGAAAGGATACTTTGCTGTTAGCATGTTCACATAGTCCCGCAGGAAGATTGACAGTGATTTCATATTATGTGAGTTAGGCACATACAGAGCCATTTCCAACTGGCGTGCGCTGTATGGCAGATAAAATAAATGAGCCTTTTCCGGGTCCTTTGTGACAAACTGCCGGTTTTCCTCCATCAACTTCATAAACCATCCTTCAGATGAATAAATTCCTTTTAGATGAGGATGATGGAAAATAGGTCTTTTTCCTTCTTGGTAAATGTAAACCTTAAGTGTCAGTTCCATCAACTCGTAGCTCCTGGAATTTAGACATTGAGGCTTTCAACAAAAAGTGATTGCACTGAAACTGGTGTTAGTGATAGCATGTATGCAGCTTGTTATTTTCAGAATGGACAAAACAGTAGAAGGTAATTGCTGAGAGACAAACAACTCCCCAATCTTTGACCAGCATTCCGTCAACAGAAACTGGAAATGCTGTTGACAAAAAGTCTGATTGATTTTCATATCTTTTCCCCAAGCGATCTTATTTGAACACAATATGCTTGGAAATTATTTAACCGATCAGGTAAGCATCATTAATTACCACAAGTAACCACAATGCTAGCAATTTATAGGATTGTTGCATACGGGCATGCCATAGGCACTGTTAACCAAAATGCTAAAGCAATGTCATATAAGTGCCGCCAGATGTACCTTTTAAAAGCAGAAACGTTCCGGAATAGAGGAGCATACAGATCTGGATCATCAGTGGCAATTGGGGCATTCTCGATCTCCTTTTTAGCATATGCAAGTGCCTCATCCGGTCTCAATGACCATATGTATCTCTAAAAAGCTAAAACTTGCTTAGAGAAAGAATGAATGAAAAAAGACAGCAAAATTCCATGTAAGAGTTCCTTATATGATGTTTTTAGCATTGACGACCTTACCTGTAAATGATGAGGCACAGTTCTATGAGGAGGAGGTGACATCGGAGGTGTAACTATATTCTTTGGCTCCATAATCCTACTTTCATCTCTTTTTTCAGAAACTTCAGTTTCCCTTTCCTTAATTAGCATTGATCGATCCAAATTCACAGAATAATTCAATACAACAATTAGTGGGTCAACACGACCAGGTTTAGACTGTTCATCCCATGCCAAGTGAGAAAGATCACTCAAATGCATTGCACCATTCAGAGATTTGTGTAAGGGAACTGTTACTTGTGGGGAGTGAATCCATGATGTCAGTGGATAGGGAAGTGTCAAGATTTGAAACAAAACACCAGGTATCATAATAATGGTTCCGATAATAAACAATTTTCTCCAATCAATTCTGAACATCAGGGCAATAATAATCAGCCGCAAGAATTTATTCATCTCAATCTCCAAGCTTGCAATGCAAAATTCCAATTCAGTCAATCGAATACGAATATGTAAACGACCTCCTATCGCTATAATTCTGTAGTTATCTTCACGAACTTCCTGCTGCAGAAACTGTGACTCAAAAAGAAGCAGTTGTCAATCAAACTAAAGCACTATAACACGCCTTATAATTGATTCATAGTTTTTTTGGGCTGAAAAAGTTCGTCAATCCAAATACGCAAGTGAACTGTGCTTAGACACTTCGCAAAACCGCACTGATGAGAGGAGCTAATGGTACTAAGGCCGTCCCATACTTCCAACATGTTCTGGTGCTGGAGAAAGGCAAACACTAAAATCTATTAAAAAAAAACCAATTAGCCAATTCTCATGTATGCATGTTAAATCAAGCTTTGAACATGATCAAAGACAGGAATTGTAGGATATGACCACTGGAGTAGGCTAAAGCACTGAACATAAGGAGTACCCAACTGGATAAATAAATTGTGCCTTTCAATCCAATGCGAAAAAAACCTTCGAAAGGAGAAAAAAAAATAAAACTTATCTTGGTTTCAAGAAAATAACATACAACCTAAACTACAAAACCGTTCAATAAAATCCATTCAAATTATAGTCATCAAGTTCTATCGTATTCACTATGAAGCACCCATACATGCCAGAAAGTATCCAAAAAGCAATTCAATCCTACCCAATATGAACCTTGAATTTCAACGACGACTGCAGGTAAAGTTATATCAAACAGACAAATACCAAATATACAAACACATACCCATAAATATTTGTGTTATGTGTGTATATACATATAACAATGGTAGGAGGAGTTTCATACCTAAATAAAATTAGCTGAAATGCAGAGAATTCTGAACCATGTGGAAGAATTGTTGAAGAGAGAAGAGCACCCAGAACAGAGGGAGAGAGAGAGAGAGAGAGAGAGAGAGAAATTGTGGGAAAGAAAGAATTGGGTATGAGAAATAATGAGAATTAAGAGAGAAGAAAAGGAAAAGGGCCAATCAAACGCCGGACTCAAAGGAGTTGTCGAAGGTGGTGGGAAACATTCGGGCGTGGCAACAGGCGACACTAACGGTAACGGTTCTTATATTTGGCCGTTTGGTTGTTACTTCTTAGACTTGGACTTTCCTTCCTCAACTGCTCCTTTTCCTCTTATTCTTTTTTCTCCTCTACCTATCTTTTGAATATTATTTTGGTTGCCAACCTCATTGACTAATGTTTTTCTTGCAATCCACCTATATAATGCCAGCTAATTTTTCCCTTTTTTGATTTTTTTGTTGTTGTTGTTGTTCTAACAATCATCAAAAATTTAGGTGTGTGTGAGTTATATGACGGCTATGACATTTCTACTTTCAAGTAGAAATGTTGTAATTTGTCTCTGATAAAAAAAAAAAAAATCTTTCAATCAGCCTAATCTATTATTTGAGTAATTTTTTTAATAATATATTGATTTGATGATTTATTAGTTGATATTATCAATTATAATTGTTTTACCTTTTCATTGACTCCACATCAATTGATTTATCATTAAGTAAGTATATTATATCAAATTATTAGGTCTGAATAACGTTACTCTTATATCTTTGTGGACAAATCTATAAATTTAAAATTAGGAGCAAAAGTAAACAAAAGGGTGCCTTTTAAATAATGGAAAAAGTTTAGGGCCCAAGTTTATAAAATTTGGAGTTATTCATAGTTGATGATAACGTATTAGTAATTATGTTATCTTTGATTGCTTTACCCCGAAAATGACACACTAAAAAATACTTCTCAAATTTTAGGGGTACCAGCGAACATGTATTGCTGTCCGATCATTTCTTGAGCTAGAAATGTCGCATCTATGTGAGAATTGATGTATACGGTGTTAATAATTTTGTGAATATATGAGTATCATCTCTAAACATAAACTACAAAATATAAAAACAATCGTCAAAAAATAAAATAAAAAATAGCGAATACGGAGAAAATAGAAAGGTCAAGGAGAAGGATGGAAATAAAGTCAGAGTTGGCCACGAGGTAATGATTTTAGCCCATATTCTAAAACGTAATCATAAAACAGTAGACTTATTTTAGCCACGATCCAATTAAATCCAATCCAATCCAATCTAATCCAATTCATTCAATTCCAAATTATAAAATAACAGTCTTGTGAGCTGTGATCATAAAGATGCTTTAAATTCCAACAAGCAAAGTATTTTCTCACTTTTATACCTTAACAATGTAAAGGGTTTTAGTATAATTAAGTTAAATATCAGGGGATTTATATTAAATTTATCTCAAAAGTACTTTTAACATTATATATTTGTGAGTGTTTTTTAGTCCTCCCTCTTTGAGTTGAGCCTGAGCAATCGATTATTCTTATGATATTTAAAAAAACACCATTTCAAAATCAAAGACGGTGAAAAAAAGAAAAAAAAATTATTTTATCTTTATGACTACATGCATATGAAAAAGCGTAATGTTATGCTTACCAAATTTTTTTTTATCAAATCTCTATTTTAAATAATGTGGCACAATTTTTTATCATCAGATAAGTAAGTGTTATTAATATTCAACGACGGAGATTATGTCATGTCATTTGGAATAGAAGATTTAGTAAAAAAATTTAGTATGCATAGCATTTTCATATGAAAAATGAAGTAAATACCAACCAACTATTCAAATCATTTCTATTTATAGCAGTTTATATACCCCCTTTGGCGAAACGCTTATGATTTTTTTTCCAATTGATGCAATGTTTGTATCCTTATGTCTTTCCTTACGACACAAGTACTTTGTCTCTTATTGTGGCATGGATCTCTTGGCCTAGCATGACAATTTTTGGCAAAGTAATTGTTCGAGGGTCCAGACATGGACTCATGTGGATTATGGACTAGGTCCAAATGATCCATTGCGATTGTCTTGCAACAAAAACGATAAAGTCTATCAGTGTCTCATGGTGAGTGTATGTGTTGGGGGTCCTTGCGGTGTTTTGTGCACTTGAAATTTTTTTTTTTTTTTAATGGTCAGGAGTATTTGGATTAGATTATGCGTACTTTGATAAATCGTCAAATCTTTTTTTCGATTTCGATCAAAGGCAGATCATTTATATCAGAATTAGAATATTCATGAGAAATAATTCTCTCATTACCTAACTTCAAAAAATTACTAAAATTTGAACTCAAAACGTCTATATTTAGAGTTTGTGTCTTCTCCACTTGAGCTAGCAAAAATAGTGGTAACTGAGTGGTTTCAATAGTGGGAATGATTTTTAAGTCCTTCTTCAACTTATACTATTTCTTATCCATTATTTTTATAAATAAGCAAAAATATTATAAGAATTATTGGATTACATAATTTGATAGTTAATTTTTAAAAATAAGTAATAATTAAAGAGAGTTTACGGGTAGTTTGACGGTATTTTATAGAACAAGCAATGCATCACGTGCATTGCACTTGAATAGTTTTTGTATACAAAAATTAATAAAATATACTAGGTGTATATGTCTCTAAATTAAATATCATCTTAAATTTACTAAACTTAAATTTTCATTACTCATATTATATTATAAAATTTATATATTCCTAAAATTCTTTCTTCTAACTATAAGAAAAAAAAATTATTAAAATTTTATTTTTTTAGAATTTTGTGATTGAAATTGATTTTTATTTATTTTTATGTTTGAGAAATTAAATTTTTTTAAAATTAATTTTATTAGGATTCCACTTATAATTCATTGAATAAAATAAAAATAATTGTTAACATACTAATCATATTATAATTTTACTGTAATTTGGAATTAGTTAGATGAATTGGGATAAAATTTAATATCCTGCTCTAAAAATATTTTTAAAAATTCAAATTTTACTTAAAAATTCTGAAAAAAAAAATCAAATTTTAAGAAATTCAAGTTTTACTTAAAAATATACTACAATATCTATTTTCACATAAATTTTAATACAGTTTAGAAGTTTATTGTGACTGAATAATTATACTGATATAGCATAAATTAATTTTAAAATACTCTATATACGATTATTTTTATTTTATAAATGAAAAGGTTAAACTTTTTCATGAAAAAAAATACACATATGTAGGCATAATGTATATTTGCATATGATATGAGTAATATTAGATTGATGAAATTTTTAAAGAATTTTTGAACACTTTATTGAAATTATAATGATGCATGTTTTTGTAAGGGTAATATAGTCAATTAATTTTTTTTATAGAAATTAATATTTATACATAGATAATAGATAAATTGAAAAATATGTTAAAGATAATTTGAAGATTTAAATAAATAAGGATACAATGATAATTTAGATATTTAATTGTGAAAAGATAAAGTAATATTTGCAATTTTTTATAAAAAAAAATAGAGATTCAAAAGTTTTTAATGTTAAGGTACATGTATTAGTAGTATAAATAATTAAAAAAGATGTTAAAAATAATTTGAAAATTTAAATACATAAGAATATTTAATTGTAAAATGATATAACGGTTTTTGTAATTTTTTATAACGGTAAAATAGAATTTTAAATTTTTTTCATGCTCATGTATTTTTATTAGTAGTACATATATAAATATATATAAATATACATATGGATATGATTGGAATATGAATTTTTTATTAATTCAAAATTCTTAAAAATTAGAAAAGTGGGAGGAAATGTTTCTAAAGTCCTCTCCTTAAGAATTTGATTGCTATATATATATATAGATAGTGTGTAGATGAGGATATTAAATTAATTTTAAAATATTACAAGTTTTAAAATTTTAAATTAAGTTAAATTTATTGATATGTATAAATTTTAATCACTTTTAATGGTCTATTTAAGTCTGTCAATCGTGTCAAATGAGACAAGTTTGTGTCAAATATTTTTTTTAATTAATTTTATTTATATATTAATTTATTTATTAATCGTATCGTATCAAATTCATTTATTTAAAAAATAGGTGTTTTAAAGCAGAAACATAGCTTCTAATATTATGTCCTATTGTGTTATCGGATTGTTGTATATTTTGACGTCCATACGTGAGGCCAATCCCTCTTCCCGTGCCATTCTGATGTGAAGAATTAGCACTTGGCATGTTCTATACTCACCACGTCAACAGAGTCACCATAACCAATAATACATTGCCACGTCTGATCACTCCACATATACATCATTCGGCAACAAAAAAAAAAAAAAAAAAAAGGAAAAAGCACAGAAGAAAAGGGGCAATTATACAAACCACGGTTAAAGTTTACGTTATTATAATCCACCCCCTAAAGGTTTGAAAAATTATAAAAATCACGTGATTTAAGATCAATCTACAGTTCTATCTTCGTGAGACCATTGACCAAACAAAATTTTATTTACATAATCAATATCCTTTTTGAATAACCACGCATTACAAACCCACGAAGTCCATCATTGCCAACATTATTCGAATAATTGAACCACTAGGTTTGAGAATTTGAGAAAAATTTTGACTTCATAGTTGGAGAAGAAAGTAACGACTCTCTTATCGAGAAATTGAAATTGAGTCCTAAAAAGGAGTCGGAATACCTTTTATCACTAGAAGGGGTAAGAATTATTTTTATTTAGTTAACTTCCAGATGATATTTTGAGAAAATAAATTGATGAATAAGGAAATTAATGGTTATTCAATCACACCTTGAATCATTGGATATTGTAGCTCGGGATAGTAGTTTGTTGAGAAAAAAAAACACATTCACCTTATTTTAACTCTATAACAAAATAGGTTTAATCCTGAAAAAATCGTCTTATAACAATCAAGAAGGTCCATTTCTTTGAGACCATGAATACAAGATGGAAATAGTTAATTTGACAATTTCATCCGATATTTCAAGCCTTCATCCTTGAAGAGAGAGATTTACCGGTAGACTTTGAGTTTTTCCATAGTATAATGAAAAGCCTTGTTTAATCTATCCACCTTGATTTAAATGATAGAGGGCGACGGACGAGAAAGGGATTCTATCGCAAACAAACGAGGGAAAAGAGGAAACAAGGAAATGAAATGGGTTGCATTTGGGTTTTATTAGAGTTCAATAAAAGTTTAAAATGATTATTGCAATACTTCTTCCGTCAACATCATTAATTGACTAGATTCACTCTAACTTAAATCGAACTATGGGTAACAGAGTGTAATAGGTATAAAATTGAAGGGTAAATTGTGTCATTCGTCCTGCGACAATTCGTCTATCGAATTTTTGGTGCCTATACGATCTGAGAATTATAAGGACAAAGCTCTCTCTCTCTCTCTGTAATGGTGCCTTGATATCAGTGCTCGTCGATTTCTGTCCCAATCCACGATTTTCTCTCCCTCAATGGCTGCTCCGTTTTTTTCAACGCCTTTCCAACCTTTTGTTTATCAGGTACTCTGTCAGTCTCTCTCTCTCAGTCGTTTCCATACTAAAATTTGGGGTTTCGATCAGGTTTTTGGTCATCCCTTTCTTGTCGATTATCGTATATTTATGCGTACGTTGTAGTGTTGTACGGTTGTGTGTGCTTGATTGCTGAGATACTGTTTGCAAACGAAATGATTTTAAGTTCGAGTTCGAGGTTTTCTTTTTCTGCTTGGTTGGGACTTGTAGGTCGAATTGATTGTGATGTGTCAAGTTTTGTGTGGTAAGTTTGCCTGTGATATTTTTGGATACATATGGTTCTATGATTGAGCAGTATAGACGTGTTAAAACTGTTGAAATTCTTGAAATTGTGGTAAGATCACAAGGAAACTAGTGAAATTGGATCATGCAACTGTCACGAACTATGTGTTTCCTTTTCACGTTTTAATGAGTTATTGGATATAGAATTTGAGGCTTGATTCGTGTTGGCATGTATAGCTGTCTTATTAAGGCAGGGAAGAATCTTGTAAAGATGGAATGATTTATTTTATTTCCCTCACGCAATTTCTTTTCTTGTTTTTTTTTTCTTCCAATGAAATCCAACCATGACAAATGGAGAAAAAATGTCCCAACTTTCAAATAATTTGGGGTAGGTAGAAAAGGTCGACGAACTTTTTACAATCTAAGTTGCAATTTTAATTGATTAATATCAAGAGCTAAATCTCTTTTTTCATGCTTTCCTCTGGAGGCAAATCAAAATATAAATTTGGTAAGAAAAATAAACATTGTAAACAGAAATTTTGGTGATGAATGTTGTAAAACGTTGGAGGTTTTAGTGACAATCAACAGGTCAAAAAAATATTAGGCGTAACTGTTACATCACGTCAACAGTGTCACGTGGTGTAATTGTGCAGGTAAACAAGTTAGCAAATGGACCCCACTAAAACTCATAACCACCCGACCATGTAATACATAACCGCCTCTATGATAGAAAGTGAGTCCTATTTTATTCTTTTTGTTATTTTTTTATTGGGTGGTTACACCGAATAGTTGTTGCAACAGGTCCATGTTATTGACTAGAGGTGTAGGCACACCGGCCACCTTAGTGCGGGAAGATCACTTAAACTACTCAGTGCCACCAGCTTCTTTATCCGTGCGTAGTTTCCATTCTAAACTTCATAAAATCCACCCCTATTCATTTTCCTATTCCAGGGATGATACCAACTCTGCTTCCACTTTTGCCATTTCAGCCATAGTTTTTGACCTGCTACCGAAAGCACTATGGAGAATAACAAAAGTTTGTGTGTGGCCTGATGGTTTCCTGAACTTGTCATATGAAAAGGATGCACTCACTCTGCAATAATCCACTGCCCATTGTCTCCAACGGTTAAATATAGTAATTATATCAGTGTGTGGTCCATTTTCTTGGTCCAGTGGTTAAATATATTAATTATATCAATGGTTGCTTCTAGTTCATTTTTCGTTCTTCTGGAGCAAAGCAAAATATGGCAAACATCTTCTCTAGTTTAAGTTGAATATTGCAAATTTGTAAGGGTGTGGTTGTGCAATGATATGGGGGTGCATTTGCATTTGGTGCTTCGTGTCCAAATCAAGTGTTTCAGATGTAGTTTTTCAATTAGACCTAGTTATCCGCCCCAAATCTGGGATCCACATTTTAGTTGCGAGAGAATTGAAAAATTAAAGGAATGATGTGTCATTTGCAAACCACATTCAATAAAGTGGAGTTGAAACAATAAAATTCAAAACAATTGCACTATCATGACACCTCCACCATTGTGACTATTGCCGTCCCCCACCGTTGTTGTTGCCACCTGCCACCACCACTATAAGCATTGTTGTCTTCATCACCCACCACCACCACCACCACACTGTTACCACTGCTTCTCCATGGTCACCACCACAATCATCTCATCATCTAACTGCCACTGTTACCATTTTATACCACTGCCACTTTGTCGTCCTCATCGCACCCCCATGTCATCTTATCCATATTCCTACTATCTCTACCATCACGGTTTCTATTCCTATCCCTATCGTGCACCACCACATTTCATTGTTGTTGCCCAATGCTCCCTATCAGCCACCAACACTCAACCACTACCACTAGCATAGCATAGTCATGAAAACAAGAACTAATGCAATCTTTGCCTCCACCATCCATCACTAACTGTCGCCGCTATCAGTCCACACCATACCAATTGCCATTACTAATCACTACATCTATATTTTTCTACTAGTTTATTAGTAGTTCTCAAATAATTTCAATTCAGTTTTGAACATAATTGTTTCATGCAAACAGTAGACTTTGAAACTATGGTCACAAATTATTGCTATTGCAGTTAATAGAATTACGATCTATGTGCCAAGTATAAAGTGTTGGATCAAATGCACCCTTCAAAGCTAAGAAATCCGCTACATCTAATAATTTTCATTATCATTCCTACTTTATTGTTATCATTACATTTTTCTACACTGGCACTCATGAGGTGACGTATTGTAGAGTCCGCAAGAAGCTGTAACACCTTTTCAGATTTTGGGTGGTGAGGCCCAGATAGTTCAGGTATTGATAGCATTTATCTCCCATTTCTTTGTAATGAAAATATCTGCTCCATGTAGTTGAAATTCCTTTTTGTATTCACTGTCTCATTACCAGATTATGTTGAAGCCGCAAGAAAAAGTTATAGCGAGGCCTGGTAAGTCGCATGTTAACTTCTTTGGAGATGAGTTCTTGTGGATATTTCATTAGTAATTTCTCTGTTTCAAATGGATAAAAAAATTTCCACTTGATTTATGTAAACAAATTGCCCGAGGTACTCCGATTGGAAAATAATTCCACCAATTCCGTTAGTTAATTAATCAGAGAAGCTTCTTGGTGTCTTTGTTTCTTCTTGTTTGCTGTTATTATTAATTCTCTATCTCTTGGGATAAGGCTGAATAGGGTTCCTAGAATCTGTCTCTTGTCACCACATAAATGAGCAACATGCGGAATAATATAGTTACCACATAGGTTAGTTAATATGTTTTTCATGCTCCATCCTAATAAGGAGGTTGAGGATTCAAGCCTCGAAAAAAGCATTTGTGGATGCAATGCCAGCTCCTGCTAGGTTGAAGAGTTTTAGTAGCTCTCGTCCCTCTTCTATGTTGAGTTCTTGATAGCTGACCCAGATTGGAAATCCCATGGTGTTTCATCTTGGAAAAATATGGGCACTTCTATGATTCTTTCTTGTGCCTTAGAAAGCTTTAAGTTTTAGCCATATGTTTGGTGTATTGGAGGTACTCGCTTGGGCCTTCAGTCTGGTTGATGGGAAGGATGTTGTTTCAGCTTATTATCCGTACTTTAGTGTGTGGGTAGAGATTTGGGTTGCTAGTAAGGAGTCACTACACACCCTGGTTATTATTTAATATGTTACCATTGATGGTTATCTTATACGGTTTGCTTCCTTTATATTTTAAACGGCAATTGTAGATAAATGATTCTTAATGATTTTCAGGTTCCATGTGCTACATGTCTGGGTCCATTGAAATGGAAAATGTTTTTGCTCCTGAAATTGAAGCAGGCGTGTGGCAGTGGCTTTTCGGCAAGAGTGTGAGTAGCATAGTTCTTTCCAATGTTGGTTCAAGTGATGGATTTGTTGGAATTGCTGCACCTTCTCTAGCAAGAATTCTTCCGGTTTGTACCATCTAAATTTTACTCAGAATCACATCTATCAATTTTCTAATTTAAGGCATGCCTCATGATTCTTAATATGACACCTGATATTGCTGACTACAATCCTTGCATTAGGCGTCTGATTAATATTTCTGTTGTAGATTGATTTAGCAATGCTCGGTGGTGAAATGTTATGCCAGGTATGGCTTATTACCTATTTCCTTCTTTTGCCCAGAAGTTGTTTTATTGTTGTCCTCACCCCTCCTCCAATTCTCTCTCTCTCTCTCTCTCAATGAGCTTGATCCATATATGAGTTTGCAATTACTGTTTTGCAGCCAGATGCATTTCTTTGCTCCATCAGCGATGTGAAAGTCAGTAATACAGTTGATCAGAGGGTTCGTAATGCCATTGTTAGTGCAGAGGTGAGATAACAGGGTTTCCTTTCATGTCCTTTTACTTGATTTCCTCACTCTTGATGATCCTGCATGTCATTTTAATGGTGCTAACATATTTGACAAGCATGCTTATGCTGTTTCCAGGGATTTTTGAGGCAGAAAATATCTGGCCAGGGGCTTGCATTTGTTGTCGGGGGTGGTACCGGTATGTCTTCTGACTTACTGTGAATTCCAGGAAACACTTCAGTATGGCTTTGAAGAGAGTGGATCTGTCCTGAATATTGAGGTGGACGTAATTAGGACTGGCCAAGGAAGTAATTAGGATTTAGGATAGATCACAGCCTTCTCTCCTGAGTTTCAGGGTTTTCATAATCTCTGAAGTTTAAACTCAAGGGGCTAGCAATGAACATATTATTTCATACCTTGGTCTGACATTTTCATTTTGATTTGCAAGGACTTTGACCTTTGTTTAAGGTAATCTTAAACCTACAAGCTGTTTGCATAAAAGTTATTTAGACTTTAGAGTCGGAATTGCCTTGGAAAATGTATTCTGTAAAGAATCTTGAACAATACAGGTTGTAATGTTACAACATCAAGGAGGAATTTCTAGTCAAATTACATGCCCATGTCATTATGATCCTACTCTTTCCATATTATATGCATTTTAAAAACCATTTTAGGATTGAAAACTTTTGGGGTAAAAAATTTGAGATTTGTAGAGTTGAGGCATGTTATTATAATAGCACCTTTTGTTAGGCCTTGTAGAGCTCATATGAGAATGAAAGTCACGAGTAGAAGTGCATTTTTCCATTTACTTCTTTAGGTAATCATAAATGTGCATCTGAAATGAAGTGTGATCTTTTATTTAGGAATAGTGTTTCTGCAGTTTGTCTCAAAGTTCTTTGCCATTTTTTTCCTTAGAATATGAAATTTTATGGAAAGCATACTTGGATTAATTTGCATATTTATGCACCAAAATAATTAAGTCCTCTTACATTTTTTTTCTCTCTTTCCATTGTCTGTAGTTGTACAGAAAAATCTCGAGGTTGGTGAAGTACTTGCTGTAGACATGTCGAGCATTGTTGCCTTGTCCGCAACAGTCAATGTACAAGTCAAATATAATGGTCCAATAAGAAGGGTGGTCTTTGGGGTAATTTGCTGCTTCTTTTTTAGTTTTGTTTAACCTTTTTTTCCTTTTATTTCTCTTTTTAATTATCACCCTTTTCTTTCCATATTTCTTGCTTGTTTACTGCTATAATTATTCCTTTTTTTATTGATCTTTAAAGAAAAATTTATGCCTACTCTTATAACTTTTAAGTATTGAATCTATTGATATAATAAATTGGACATTGACAATGGAAATTTACTTAATTCATCCTTGAAATGATAAGCTGCCTTCTTAGAACTTTTATTTATTGGGGTTATGGTTTACATTGCGGTACATTGCCTTTACGCATATAAGCAGCAAAGGAAATTTCCTATGTGCTGTTACTAAAATTTAAATTCAGGATTTCTCCCAGCCTATATAGTTATGTTGCAATCCTAATATCCTTTCTGTTTATCTTCAGTAATAAACATTATTACCCTCTTTAGTATTGAACTTATCCTTATAACCAGCTATTTGCTTTACTGGTATCTCCCACTTTCTCCAACGGCATAGGTAAGTGCAAGGTTCAAGTCCAATTAAGGGAGATGGGGGTATATGCATTACTAAAAAGAAAAAATTGATACATTAAATTGGATGTTTGTGTTTATGGGAAGCTAAATTTTGCAAACCAGAATATCAAAATATTGTTATGGGAAGTTAGAATGAAACAAAATAAGAATTGAAAGGGTCTGCCCTCGAGAGAATGGGAAAGCTTAAGAACTGCAAAGTTTGCACAAGAGTCACAAGACCCACAATGAACGTATGTCTATGACAAGGAGATGGAATTGGTTCTATCGGGGGACTTGGATTGGATGCATAAACTTAGAGAACTGCCTGACGTGCTGGAATGGAGTAATGAGGACACAATTTGTGGACAGATGCAGTAGAGACAGCGGAGTAGTCATTCTTGATTCCTGGTTGATTTAAAATATGGCGTAGCTAGACAGATCAGGTGCAACATTGATGTGATAGGATGATGATAAGATAAGGAGAGAACACAAAAAATCCAGCTAGTAATATTTGCTTTTATAATTATTTTCAGTGAGATGCCTTTCATTAACATGTTAAGCAGAACTTTAGCCATAGGTGTAGTAGAAGGGCAGCACAGAAGATCCATATTTAAGTGAATGTTGCAGACTTTTCATTTCTTCCATCATGAAAATTTGTTTCCATTTGTTTTCCTTATATTACTTATAATTCATTTTGATGTGCTATCTCCCCCATCCAAAACTGTTTCCACATGTTCTCAAGGATCTTCCTGTTTTGAAACCACCTGCTAATGGGGAAATACTTGCAATACGGAAAACCAAAAGCTATTCTCTCAGAAAATGGATATAGCTCCGAGTCTTGCATCCTATTGGTGTCTAATACATATTATAGGATAAAGGATACATGACTTAGAAAAAAAAAGGAGAGGGATCATCTGTGTTCTTCCATGGCGTCTTCCTTCCACCCTTCCTTGGTTACACTCAACATGATAACCGCTGCTTATCCTCACCTACATTTTCAACTGGTTTGTGATCACTAAAATCAGCAAGAAGGCTGCTGCTACCAGGGCTTTAGTTAGTTCCTTGTACTAGGAAAACTAGTCAATGACTGGTGCTGCTTTCCAACAATGGCTGTAGATTACATGATTCCATCTTTCTGAGCTCAGCTTGCAAAATGCCATAACTTGGCTGCTGCATGCATTTGCTTTAAGTCTTCATCTTTAGACTGGATTCCACTGGCTCCCTTTTTGCTGGTCATAGTAGTGCTACGGCTTTATTTTCATTGAATAGGGGATTATTTTATTCTAGTGATTGTATTGTTGGCTTTGCTTTTGGCATATACGGAGTCCTTGCAACAGTATGGGTATTAGAACAAGAGACAAGGACTCAGTAGCATGAAATTTTGTAGTCTATAGTTGTACTTTCCTCTGCCTTAACCCCTGCTATTTAAGATAAAAAATATAATCCTTTCTGCCATTGTAGCCTTTTAGAAGCCCTTTGTTTACTGTTCCATTTCCAGCTATATGGCTGTAGAGATAGTCCATTCTACATGTCTAGCATGTCTAAAGCCTTATTATTAAGTTTGAGAATTTGGAATTTGTCTTTTGTCCATATTTTCTCAACATTCTTCTTTCCTTTCAGCCACTGCTGGTGGTGTTTGCATAATGCTTGTACAAGCCATTTTAATCATGCGCTATTTTATTTTATACACTGCTGAAGGTACTCTTGGAGGTTCCAAATGAGTTTTCATGTAATTCCATCATTTCTATGCATTTTTGTTGAATTATCCCTTGTGGTTGCTAATGTCTCCGGCAGTAAAGGACAATTTCTATTGGTGTGTACCCTTTTTAATAAGTGATGGACACACTTTTTTATCTTGTCTTAGATACGGGTAATATTATGAGGTTGTCCCCGAACATGACCCCCTTGTTATTGCAACTTCAACATCACCTATACTGGTGGTTGCTATTGGAATCTCTCTCACTATATCTTGCTTGACTGCTTATTTTGTTTCTGAAAACCTGGTGGCACTAACTGTGTTGGCAAAATCACAGGGTGACAATCTAGTCACAGGCGTTTTGAAAGGACCGGGTATTGTATTCATTCAGAGTATGCCCTTTCATCGGCTATCTCAGCGTATTGCCAGGTAATGTCTTCTGGTGAAAAATCAATTAAACCAAATTGAATTTTGCTTTCATGCACGGGGTAAGGTGGGTTGGGGACCATGCCTTGTGGATATGACTCGTGCCCTAGCTTGCCTGGTTGCATGGGGTAGGGTGATTCATGTGGTCCATGGGATTTTTCCCAGTTCTCAAAAACCTGGGTCGTTATATCCCCCCAACTCAAAATAAACTCTCTCTATCACAAAATTAGTGATTCTTTTTTGCAGGGCGGTTACATCTCCGAACATGAGGGATAATCCAAAGTTCTTCATCCAGATAGCGATTTTCTTATTTCTAGCTTATGCCGTCATCGTGTCATCATTAATTTTGACTGATTTATAATTTCTTCTTCTCCTTTTTTTTTTGGGACACTCTATGGCTTATCTTACCTCCGGTGTCTTTTCCAGTTGGTATGTTCCCGAGTTTTTTTTTGAATATGGATATGTAGGGAGATTAATAGCAGAAACACAGGGTTTTACATTAGTTCATTGGAGGAAATGTTAGTGGACTCGGCTTTGTAAAGACAATTCAAGTATTTACTTTATGCAGGCCTCAATGCATATGCGTTTCTGTGCAACTTCTTTATTCCTTCTTGTTAACTTCAGAAATTCATAGAAATTTTAAAAGGTCTACAACATTTTTAGTAGCATGTCTTGTTCAAATTTGTTGACTATAGCCATTGTGGAGCGCTATAGGATCCCAACCCGTGAATATTGTTTCTGAATGCAAAGCAAAGGTTCTAGGGTGAGATCTTTGGGTGGTGTCCTTGCCGAACTTTTTATTGGAGGTTCGAGTTTTAGAGTTCACATTGAAATTCGGTAGTTAATCGTTATGTTATGATTCTACCAGACAGAGTCTATTGAGATTTTTTTTATGTTTTCACTCCTTTTTTCAATAGTAAATAAAAAAAAAATTGCATCAATGTTAAATTGATGGGAATTGACTACATGTTAAATCAACAGAATTCAATCCTCTAATTCACACGGCAAACGCAAAACATGCTTGTGTAATCGTCACATAATTACTCTTGAGTAACACAATTCATGACTGCATGCACCAATAGTTTTCTAAAATTTATTTAATTAATAAAATTTTCCATTAACCAAATGTAGAGAGAGAAAAAAAAAGATCGAAGAGAGAGAATCAATTCTTTTAGGGTAATGGGCCTTATGGCCCTATTAGCCAGACTAAAAGGCTACCCATGAGGTGCAACAGAGTAAGACCGGGCCTTATGAGTTGGCCCAGAAGGCAAAACCGCCTCAATTATACATGTAACACATGGTTATAATGTTGTGAGGCTCATAATTTCCTAATCCGAAACGAAACGGAAGCTTTTGCTCTCTCCGCTCCCGGAACCCTAACCGTCGTTTGTTTGCCCTCTCTTCAATTCGAGGGCTGAATGATTCAAATTCTTCAGAATTTAATCGGATCTGTCCGATGAGTTCTTGATTTCTCGACCGATCTTCATATATAAACTCCGTGTACTTCTCTCCGAAGAATCGGACGACGAACTTCTCTGCGATGCACTTGTTCTGAAGCAACGGAGATTTTTGCTCATATGAATGGTTTGTAAAGCTTATAGTTGTTTGGAATATCCGATTCAGCATCGGTCTCACGAATCTCAAGATTCAACTTGATCTGCGATTCTACGTCTCCACCAAGGGTCTGCTTCGATACTCTCTTTGATGCGGTAGATCTGACGTTTGGACCAGGCAGGAGTTGAAGAATTGCAAGATAAATTGGGTTTTGAAGGATGCAGCTGCGGAGAGACCTAAGCCGTTCGATTTGCATCTTGAAGCAATATTGATTTGGTTTGATTGAAATACTTGAGCTATTGAAGAGGATCTGTTTCAATTTTTGTACAGTATATTTTCGTTTGAGTTTCAGTTCAATATCAGGCCACTTTTTTTCGGCCTTTGTTGAGATTTAGGTTTTTGTGTTCGTTATTGATTTCTTCTCAGAAAAGAAATTATGGCAGTGTATTATAAGTTTAAAAGTGCAAAAGATTTCGACTCAATTCCAATCGACGGACATTTCATGTCAGTTGGCAATTTGAAAGAAAAAATATTTGAATCCAAGCATTTGGGCAGGGGTACTGATTTTGACCTTGTTGTCACCAACGCCCAGACTAACGAAGGTTGGTTTGATTCCCTAGAAATTATTGTTAATTCTTCTGTTGAAATTTCATAAGAAAATTGGGGGCATATTTGATTTTGATTCTAAATATGTACTTTGACATTAGTCAAAAATTGAATGGGTTCTTTTATGGCATGATTTTCAATAAATTTTGGGCGTGGAGTGTGCTTAGTAATAGAAGTTTGCCTTTTGCATCAATTTTGTTTAGTCATGGTTGTTTCTTTGATAGGGTGTTGGCTTATGATAACTTCCATTGTGAGAAGTTTATGATTTTCACTAGGTGACATGGCCTTGACACCTTTCAAAGAAAGAACCTTGAGAGCAGAAAGTACTACTAGTAGTGGTACTAACAATTATTGAACTGATGAAAACATTTTGTTCCAAAATTGAAGGTCATACTGTATTTCTTTGGGTGAAATTAAGTTTCCGAATTAGAACTCTTGATATCAAAATTGGACCTTTTTGAATGAGGCCAGGCTGACTTTTGTTGATCAAGTTGATGGTGATGATACCAGTAATTCAGTTAATGAGTTTGTGACGAGGAGACGCACCATCTTGGGGATTAAATTTTAGTGTTTTGTATGTTCAGCTATGATGGAGAGATCTCATTGCAGTGTTTCATACATTGTTTTCTCTGTTTTTCAATTTCAGAATATCTTGATGAAGCAATGTTGATTCCTAAAAATACCTCTGTTTTAATTCGTCGAGTTCCTGGACGGCCCCGCATGCCTATAGTTACTGCACGAATTCCTGAACAAGAAGAGTACTATCTTAATCCTTTGTCTTTTTGACCACCAAGTCTTAATTTCATTTATTTAGGTGAAATAGGTGTCAAAGATAAATTATGAGTATTTTACTTTCTACTGTTCCGTTAAGCACATGTTTCGGTTGGTTATGTAAACCATTCGGCATGAGCATACTATAAGACCCTTGGCTATGAAACAATTTCCGAGTGTTTATTTGGGCTTGGTGTTTATACTTTGTACTGCAGGCTGAAGGTGGAAAATAAGTTAGAGGATGTCCACCCAGCGAAGAATATCTTCTTGGGTGCTGATTCATCTGTAATAAATTATGTAAGCTTCAACTGGCTTTGTGTTTTGAGAGAATTGGTATCTATTGCGTGGTTTAGTTGTCAATTGTAGATGTGCTGGAATATTCAATTGTATGTCTTTGTAGCCTGAAGATTCAGAGTGGGATGAGTTTGGCAATGACCTGTATGCGATTCCTGAAGTTCTGCCAGTTCAGTCAAGCAATTTGATCCCGGATGCTGCCCCTCCTAGTAAAGCCGATGAGGACAACAAGATCAAAGCTTTCATTGATACACCAGCGTTGGACTGGCAGCGGTGGGAATTTTTCTTGCTGCATAATTATCAGAAGTCATTAATTTTCCTCAGAATCTTACTTGTTTTAATACTTTTGGATTTGCAGTCAGAAATCGGATGGCTTTGGCCCTGGCAGAGGTTTTGGACGGGGTATGGGTGGAAGAATGATGGGTGGGCGTGGTTTTGGTGATTCTCTAGACCTTCTGTATTGAATATGCATAATTATGACATCATGTTGCCCAGTGGACTTCTCCAATGAATTCTGGAGTTGTGATATGTAAATTATTTTAGATAACCATTCAAATGAACTCGTAAACAAAGAAGAACTTGTTGTAGTTGATGAAATGTTCCCTACTGCCCTTATATCATTGTTATTGTTTATAAATTGTCGCTGCAAAATGGTATGCAGGTTTTTTAGTTGATAAATATGCATTTGATACTGAATATTTGCATTTTACCTCTTCAGGTCGAGGTGGTTTGGAGCGGACAACGCCACCACAGGGCTACATATGTCACAGGTGCAAGGTTCCCGGTATGTTCATGCTCTTGAATCTTGATGTTTGGTGTCATTCCATTTAAAAAGAAAAGGAGAGGACAAAGCATCTTTTGTTTGGCTGTGGGATGTAACTATGCTCTTAACATATACTAAATCCTATATTCATTCCCCTTTCCAGGACATTTCATTCAGCACTGCCCTACCAATGGTGATCCTAATTATGACATTAAAAGAGCAAAACCTCCAACTGGTATTCCGAAATCCATGTTAATGGCAACACCAGATGGCTCATATGCATTACCAAGTGGTGCTGTAGCTGTTTTAAAGCCGAATGAGTAAGCTGATATTTTTATATTGCTACTGAATCTTATTTCTTGACACTGTTCAAGAACTTGCTTGTTGAGCAGAGGACCTGTAACAATTGTTGTTTTTTATTACAGGGCTGCTTTTGAAAAAGAAATTGAAGGATTGCCTTCCACTCGTTCTGTTGGTGATCTTCCGCCAGAACTTCACTGCCCATTGTGTAAAGAAGTGATGAAAGATGCTGTCCTGACTAGTAAATGTTGTTTCCAGAGTTTTTGTGACAAATGTAAGACTAGTTGATGTCTTATTTGGTAACTCCAATATTCATTTAATGCAAGTTGGCATGTCGTGTTTAACACCAACTAAATATTCTTGTCACAACTCTATCCTTGTCCTTTTCTGTCTTGCGAGTTGCACATCCTCTATTCTTTGGTGGTTTTTGTTTTTCTTCATGTTAACTATGCAGAAGCAAATCTTGTTTTGTATTGGCCTTTGTGGTGTAGTACTCAGGATTAGGAACCAAGTCATAGGAGACCTCATTAGACCATTATGCCGATGTTTGGGCTATACATATTCATAAAAGTACAAGAATTTATTTGTAATCTCAGGATATTAGATCTCTGATTCCCAAATTTTCCTTTCAGGTGTAAGAGATCACATCATGTCTAAGTCAGTGTGCATCTGTGGGGCCACGAATATTATTGCAGATGATCTTTTGCCCAACAAGACTGTAAGAGAGACTATCAGTCGGATTTTGGAATGCAATAATAACAGTGCAGAAAACGGTGGCAGTGCTTACCAAGTCCAAGGTTTGTATTGCATTGATGAGCCTCTATGTAGTAACTACAACCACTGTCGTGCTACAATTACTTTTTTCCCTTTTCAGATATGGAGTCTCGCTTTCCACAGCCTATGGTTCCTTCCCCTATGCAGTCTGCAGCCCCAGAGGGTGAGCTAGCGCCACCAACTCCAAAAGAAGATACTTTAAATATACAGGAAGATTCTTTAAAGATACAGGAGATTGCAGAACAGGCTAAGGTTGTCAATGTTCCACAGCAGACCTTGGAGAAAGGGAGCATGGATAAATTTGCAGAGTTATCTGAATCTACACACAGGTCAAGGTGTATGAAGGAACCAGCATCTCAGGGGAGTGCTCCATTGGCTGATGAAGTGCTGCAGCAGAACCCAGTTTCTGGTGAAGCAGGTAAAGTTTGTTGAAATTTCTGTTTATATTGTAGCTAGTGTCCTATTGACACTAGTTTTGACTTTGTTGGCCAACCCTTGTGACTCCGATGCTTGTTAAATATTCGGGCCGTATAATGCCCCGGCATCTTGTTCTGTGGTTTTTTATGTGACTACTGGCTTATTCTCTTTCTATGTTTGGAGCTGGATCAAAGCTATGAATGGCATCATAATGAAATATGCATTTGGATTTAGAACTTTTGAATAAGTCTTGATTATTGTCTCACATGCATTTTTTTTAGTTAAGAAAAAGAAAAAGAAGAAAGCTTGCTTGCCTTCAAGAGGATACAACGGTATGTTTTTTTTTGGCTTCATACCCCTCCAATTGTTAGGTCCTTTTGATGGATTTTGAATATATTCTTGCCATTGAATATTCATCAATACACGTAACATCTTTCTAGTCTTTGTGATGCAAATACCATATTTTTCAATTCCTGGATACCTGCACCTGCAGAGATGCAGTGGAGAGTGTCTCAAGACCTTGCAGCTGAGAATTACATGATGCCCATGGGTCCTTCTGCCTATAATCCATTTTGGACTGGCGTGCAACCTGGAATGGATGGATACATAGCCCCTTGTTCTGTTGCCATGCCCTATATGGGTTATGGGCTTGGTCCCTTAGATGTTCCATTTGGGGGACTCTTACATCAGGACCCATTTGGAATGATGCCTCTTGTGCCACCTCAAAGGTATGCTTCAATCTTCATGTTTGATGTTTGGCTAATTTGTCTTCTGCCCCCTCTGTGCCTCGGGAAAAAATGTTCTCGAGGATGGGTGGGTAAGGGTGAGGATAATCTGTACTGTGTTGTCGGTTTGGGGAAAAGGATGGGGGTGGGGTAGATTCGATGACAAAGGAATATTTGTCTTGCTGGCTGCTCATTGGAAACTTTGTTGTGTAAAGCTAGAGTGCACAATAATATGCGTCTAATTGGGTCATGAACTACACCAATTTTAGGGACCTTGCGGACTTTGGGATGGGATTCAATGCTGGACGACCTATTATGAGTAGAGAAGAATTTGAAGCTCGGAAAGCCAACCTAAAGAGGAGGCGTGAATTTGAAAGCCATGGTGGAAGGTAGCTTTTAACAATGCAATTTGTAGTGCATGATGCAATTTTTAATGTCTTCTTTTTTTGGCGGTGGGAAAAGGAGATGCCACATGTTGTCTCATTGCAATGTTATTTTTAGGAATAGTCATTACCTATGCTAGAAGGCACTCTTAACACAAAAAATTCGCTAAGCAAATGGGACATTCAAGAATGTCTTAAATAAAATAAGTCCAAGGGTTGAAATGAAGAAGAATCATATCACATTAACATAATCCGAGAATCTCCATGAACTTACACTAACACCATTACAAAATTATCATGCCATACATTTCTTTATGGCGGCTCTTCTCTCCACCAAATGAGTGTTTATTTTTTCAACCTTTGGCTAAATCTAATGAATAAACTGTCTAGCTTTAATTAGGAATATCATTAAGAGTACACAATTAAATTACTGAATCCAATCAAAGAAATTAGCCACATTGAACTACAAATTAAATTTTTAAAAAATAGAAAAAATGTCAATTGAAGCTGTGAAGACAATTGATTCAAATTATCTGCCGCTGTGACTTTTCGGATGTTACACAAATATTCTCACGTTGCAATTAAACTAAATTAACAAAATCAAAATTTTACCACTTGAAAAAAAAATGATTTAATTGACCTTTTATTATTTTGGTGTCTATTTTACACTTTTCAAGTATTCAAAAAAATATGAATATTAGCAAGAGAAAAGTGGTGCAAATAAGACAAAAATTTATAATTGGTTTTGAATATTGTTTTTTTGTTTTGTTCAATTGGTTTCACTTATTTTTTTTTTTTTGTCATTGTTATTTTTTTATTAGTAATTAGTTTGACTTTGAATTTTTGTTATTTTTTTATCGGTGATTAGCTTTGGCTTTGAATGTCTACAACCAGATAAATTTTTTTATAACATTTAAATATTTATAACTTTTCACAGTTTAAACGATTTGAGTTGTGAAAAGGTCAAGACAAACAAAGATATCTCCTTTATTATATAGATATTTTGATGAACTTATTCTTAACACAAGTAGATTGGAGGATTTTTTTTTCTCATAAAGGCATTAACAAGAAAAGATGATAACCCAATAAAATATGGTGGTTTGTTGAATGCAAGAGTGGTTCTAGCATTTTTATATGGTCTTTTGCAATGCCTGTCAGGATAACGGCCTAATGGGTTTTTGCAATGCCCGACAGTATTACGGCCTTGTTAAACTGTGTTCTCGTGGTCAAATAGCAGTTTCCGGCCCATTAATCTGTCCTTAATCCTTACGTTGTGTTGAAAGAACTTTGTTCCCCAACAAGAAGTTACAATTCCAAATCAATGCCTTGGATAACCCTACCAAAGGATACTGTGTTTTGGGCCTCTGAGTTAATCTAAGTCTCTTATGGTATTACCTTCGCAAAAAAAAAATACTGAGATATCCTAGATCCATACTTGTTTGTTTCTTCAGAACATAAGTTTGGATCTGACTTATCTCGAGCTTTGTACTTGTGGGGGTTGTTAAGTAGTTTAATGTGCTTCCACATTCCTTTTTCTTCTTCTGGTTAGCTCTCCATAGAGAGGGAGAGTGGCAAAGCAGTGTGTTCAATTGATTCTGTGGAACTGTGGAAGTGGATTTTGTAATGCTTCATATACGAGTCAACTCCATCTGATCTGTGTGATTTGTGGCTTTGAATGCTGGTTTCCGCTTGTATTGTCAAACTCTTAAATAGTTTTTTAGTTGGCACGTACTGGAGTTGAGTATATGTAGGTGTTTTATAGTTTTCTGATTTCCTAGTTTGTGATAAACATTTGCTTTGTTAGGCCTGAGTGGGCTTATTGGTTAATCTTGCATTTGATTAAGTTTGTGTTTTGTTCTCTCGGAGCAGGGAGTTACCAAATGATCGTGTGGTTGTTAGGGACCAGAGCAGCAGGAAGTTGCCAAAAGATCGGGAGCTCAGTAGGGAAGAAAGCGGCAGGGGTGATACTACTTCCATGAAATCAAAATCTGTATGTACTTTGGCGTCTAAGTCTCGATTTCTCTCTTCTATTATTTGTGTACTGCAGCAGGTATACTTCATGATTTACAGGCAACAACAGTTCGGCCGAACACCCTTTTGGCAGGAAAATTACAATTTTGGAAGGGGAATGTTTTCAGTTTCTCCTTTTCATTACGAAGAGAAGGGGAAATTTTTTAATTCATGCAGTTGGGACAAACCAATTAAAATCCATTAAAATTATTCGAAATCTTTACCTTCCATTTTTCTCACAATGCTCGATTTGACTGCCGAAAAACAGCAGCTTTATCTTCAGGGTTGGGTTTTTTTTTTTTTTTTTAAATTTCTTGGAATTATCGGCAGTGAAATGGAGCTTTAATTGAGGGAATGTAAAGGGTAATGCTTGCTGATTTGTTTTGTAATTGATTCAGTTGTGTCATCATTTTTCCTCCACCTTATTGTCCCTGCTTCTGGTTTTTTTCTCGTTCAAGCAAATTTCATAAAAAGGTCAAATATGAGCTTGAAGTAGTAATGGCCCAGATTGCTCATTATTAAATTTAAGAAGTTTAATTAGACTAAGGGCCAAATTACCAAACCGGAAAAAAAATGTTTTGTTGCTTTTGATCGAGAAACATGCTATACAATTTAAATGGAATTCAAAAATTGTAACTTGAATGTATATTATTCTTTGGATGAGTGTTGTTTGTATGTGTGAGTTTTCTTGTGAAAGTTGATGGGACTTACTCATTCAATGAATGATATACATTTTAAGTTATAAATTTTTGAGATTCATTTGAGTTGTGTAGTATTATTCTTTGTTTAGACTCTTATGTTCTTGTTCTGGGTACAGTAAAAAAAAAAAGAAAAAGAAAACCGGGAAATTAATTAGGAACAAAGAAAACCGAATTATTAAACTTTTCGATGGGAAGCGGTTGAATAAACTCTATGCGTTATTAAGTGTGTAGAAAATTAGTAAAAAGCCCTTCTCTAATAGAAAGCTTTAAGGTCAGATTACGGCAAACTGTTAATTATTTTTCAAAATCAACAAAAAGACACAGAAGGGAGAAGGAAAAGGATAAGGAAAATGGCTAATCACGGTTTCGTAGCGTGTAGTGGGTGGGATGATAAGGATTATTCCCCATAATTATTAGAGAAAAGAAACCATTTGAGGGTTTTAATGTAGAAAATAATTCTTAGTTATCGTGTTTTATTTTAACAAAACTATGAGCAGTCTCCGGAGAAACGATGATTGCAAACAACTCGAATAAGTATTTTACCTATTCCATTCCCCATGCTTGGGGGAATGGATAAAAATTACGACTTAATTTTATCTTATTTCTATTTTCTTTATGGGTAAAAAGTTCCATTTTTTTTCAAATGTATTGTAATTTTTTTTATTATATGAAATTGAAAATGTTACTCCAATTTAATTTTATTTCTTATTTCTATTTTCTTCGTGAGTAAAAAGTCACATTTTAAAATGTAACTGTGAAATAACATAGCAGGTCAAAAAGTAGTAATCTTTCTGTTTTGTGTTTGTTTGCTGGTGCTGCAGACGCCTGTCCACCCGTCATCAAGCGACGGCGGCCACCACCATCGCCACCTTCCTGATAGATCATCACCGGAACGCCACAACCGAGAGCTCGACTTCCCACGTCCACCGTCAAAGAAAAAATCTGAATACGACCACCACAAGCACAACCGTTCAGAGTCATCAACTACCAGACCCGCCTCAACAACAGTTCAAGAACCACCACCACACAAATCCACAGCCACAACTGACAAAAAAGACAAGTCTAGCGTCTTCTCTCGAATTAGCTTCCCTGACGAAGATGGAGGAGAGGCATCGAAGAAGGGAAAGCTCTCGTCCTCGTCCGAGGCACCGCTGGTCAACGCCTTTGCGAGCAATAGGGCGACTTTGAATGGTTATCGCGAAGATTACAAGACTGTGTCAAGGATGAGTGCTGGTGCTGGTGTAGAGTATGAATCGAGTGATGAGGACCGGCATTTCAAAAGAAGGCCGTCGAGGTACGAGGAGTCGCCGGCGGCGGTTACGGTGGCAGAGAGGGCGGAGGGGGACCGACATTCAAGAAGGTCGAGAGATAGAGAAAGGGATCGAGATCGTGGTGGTTATAGCAAGCACAGATAGATGTGGGACGAGTTTGGACTTTGGAGAGTCCCCTGGGTATTTTGACTGAGTGGTGCTGGTCCACCAGCAAGAACCTGCCCCCACCCACACAACCAAAACCACACGCACACAGAACTCTCCCCCCCCCCCCCTCTCTCTGTGTATTGGGTAGACTGGGGAGAGATGATCTCTGTTATTTACGTTTTTGTGATAAATTCTTCTTTATTTTAGTGAATGTGAAAATATTACTTATATTATTTTTGGATCTAAATATTTTATAATACACTTTTTTTAATTTATGATCACTATTTATAAGTGGATTTCCTAATAATGTATGGTGGATAATATACTCTTAATTGAAATTTAAAAAAAAAAATCAGCAAAAGATAATATACATTCCCAAAGTTTTTTTGTATTCTCAATTTGCACACTGACAAATTAAAATTTTTATACTGCATCTTCAATAAAATAAAAAATAACAATGTGCTCATTTTTCTGAAAAAATGAGTACTTAAAATTTATTGAAAATACTTAAATTTGAGTATTATCTAATTTATTATATATATAAATAAGATAACATGACAAATAAAATAAAATATTGTTTTACAAAAAGACGATGATTATTTACTTTTGGACTCCATTGATATTTTTATATCTGATCAAGGGTACAGAAGAAATATTTTAATTCTTTAATTTTTTAAAATGGTACCATGGATTCAAATGAATCCTCCTATTTATGAGATAGTTTGAAACAGGATGAATAATTTATTATTAAGTGAAATTGAGAGAAATTTTGATGAAAGTATTTGAATTTATTACTATTGATTCAAAATTTATAGCCGAAAAACTACAGTGTTCCAAGGATTAAAGAGTGATATAATAGTTATTGAAGTTAAATGTGTTAAGGCTGGTAAAAAAAAATAAAATGTAAAGATAGAGAAAACCTAAAATTAATTTTAAATGGAATAATAAAGAAAAATATGATAAATTATGATTTAACTAAAAGTATTGTCCCTGACAGATGATGGTGTTCAAAAATACAACTGTAGTTGGGTGTTGCTAAATGTGGTGTATTGAAAATATAGGTTGAGAGGGAATAGAAATATGAGGGAAAAACGATAAATAGTTTACCTTAGTCAAGAGGCTAAAATTACGTCCATCATAAAAGAGTCTCTTCTTGTTCGTGAGATATATATTTCTTGATGAAAGTTGTTACAATGATTGTGTGGCCTTGGCCTTTACAAGAGAAATTCAATGAATACAAATTGCTCTGAGAGGCTTACAGTAGACATTGCGAGGGAGATGATAAACCTTTTTTTTGTACAAAATAACAGTGTCTTATTTATAAAGATAATCCTTTTAAGATTTTCTGCGGCTTCTTCCTCTCTTTCTTGTTAATTCTGTGGGTCTCTCTCATTTTATCCTGCAGTGATTTCTGTCATATAATGTCCACTGCTTTCACGTCCCTCAAGCGGTTACGCTCTGTGATAGAGATTGTGCACACGTTGTGTGCGTCAGAAGTAGTTCCTCTATTCCTCCGGATACATGGCATGACGGGAGTGATTCGGCATAATAAAGGAAGCCGAGCTCCTGGGTCTCAAGCTGGTCTTCTTGTCAGACTGGATTGGGTCTATGTTGGGCATCCTGGATCCAGGCGTCGTTGGGCTTTCCACTTTGTAGCCCATTTTGTTTTTTTGGATAAATAGGTGGACTGTTTTGGTAGTTCTAGAAACAAAGGCTTTTCAAACGGATTGGGCTTTTAGATCAAACGGCTCACATTCAAAATTCCATTAATATCAATAGAATTCAACGACGAAACAAGATTTCACGTAGTCGACCTTAAAAACGTTAAAAACAAGACTTTGTTGAGTTGAGTATAATTTGTAGGCATTGCGATCCTATTTTAAAAAGCTTAAGAAGTTGTGTTGATCTATGACGGTGGAGCTACAATTACAAAATAACTTTCTATTAAAAAAGAAGGGAAGTAATTTTCAATTTATATTTCTTGTTTAGGACCTGTCAATTTTGCTTTTGCTCTTAATGATATAAAATTGTTATCCACCAACAATATCAAGCATGTCAATTTGAGACTCCTTGTGGACGACAACACTTTCGTTAAAATAATAAAACCATCTATTTGTATTTTAGGATAAAGATAATATTGATTAGAACAATATTACGTAAACTTAAAAAATAGATTTAAAAATTTCAACCATTAATTTTACTGTAGGTTTCAATATTTATTAGAATTCACTATCTATTTAATGGTTGAGACTATCAAATCTAACTTTTAAATCCCTCTAGCATTACTCTATTGATTAGTATCAGCCTATATTTGTCTACACTTTATTTAGTGAATATATATTTTTCATTTTTCTTCTAAATTTGGTTGATATTTTATTTTAGAAAAACACACGTTATTTATTTGTGAAATACACGCGTTTGTTCATCCCCACTAGCAATTTGAGCATTGACTCTTGGCTGTTAATAGGGGTGGGGTATCATAGAATCGTAAATTCAAATATTTTGATTTTAAATTTTGATAATTTTTTAAAGTTTATTATGAAAAATTTATTATTTATGAATATTTTAATAATATTTATTCTAAAAAATGAATGAATTAATTAAAATATACGTAAATTAATTTAAACACCTTTAATCGTTAAAAAAATAATTAAAAAAAAAAATACTGAATGCCTCTTGTTTTGTGAAGTTTTGATGCTGATTTTTTGTTTTCGTTAAACCTCCGAGACCAAATTGGAGTATTTGATTTTGATTCTTGTGTTACTTTTTTTTCTACGGACTTGTCCCTCTAAATTTAGCGGCGCGGCCCTAAATTTCTCTCGTCAACAACAGAGAGAGACCCACCAGGCAAGCACAGTAGCAAACAACACCACACCGAGTCTCAGCTTTCATCAATGGCGGCCGCGTTCTCAAACCCTACCTTTCTGTCTCCGCAGAAGTACCACCCCTCCTCCTACTCCTCTCCTTGTCCTCGCTCCAACATCAAACTCTCCGCCGCCAATTCCCCGAAAGATGCCGTCCAACCCCTAATTTCCAATCCATTGCCACAACGCCAACAACAGTGCGGACCACCATTGACCCTTCGCCGCGCTATCACCACTTCAGCCGCCCCCTCTGCCACCCACACCACATTCCATGGCCTTTGCTATGTCGTCGGCGACAACATCGACACCGACCAAATCATCCCCGCCGAATACCTAACCCTTGTCCCCTCCAACCCCGACGAGTACGAAAAACTTGGATCCTACGCCCTAATCGGACTTCCCTCATCCTATCAGACCCGTTTCATTGAACCAGGCGAATTAAAATCCAAGTACTCTATCGTCATCGGCGGCGACAACTTCGGTTGTGGATCCTCCCGCGAACACGCCCCAGTTGCTCTTGGTGCCGCTGGAGTCTCCGCCGTTGTGGCGGAGTCATATGCGAGGATTTTCTTTAGGAATTCAGTGGCAACTGGGGAGGTTTATCCGTTGGAGTCGGAGGTGAGAATCTGTGAGGAATGTAGGACTGGTGATGTGGTGACGATTGAGCTCGGAGAGAGCCGGTTGATCAATCATACGACGGGGAATGAGTATAAGTTGAAGCCGATTGGAGATGCAGGGCCGGTCATTGAAGCTGGTGGCATTTTCGCATACGCGAGAAAGACTGGAATGATTCCATCGGCGTCTGCTTAGATTTAAGGTATAGATTCAAATAATTTGTATTACTAAATATTATACGTGAATCAGAGTGGCTGGTTCAAGTCTCGTAAACAGACTATCCGCGAATAGGACTTGCGTACAGTACCTTTCGAAATAGGCTATATTGATGGAACCCTTGTGCACTTGGCTAGTTTTGTACATGTGAGTACCTACTGTTTAGTTGGTAAGCATTTTGGTGAATATTGAATGGTGTAAATGTTAGTGATGTGGATACGAAATAGTGTGGTTTCATAGAATTTTTGCTCATTGCTTTTTGTATGCTTCATGTTTCTCTAATGCGTTGTTATTTTAAACTGGAATTGCCCAAACACACCCACACACACTATATGATTATAAATACCTGAGCTAGAATGCATGTGAACATTAGCATTAATGCATTGCCATCCAAATGAAATTGCATAGACTCATATGTGATTTTTGAGTTTATGTACTGTATCTAGTACTGATAGATTCGGTTGATTGAGCTATTGTAGTTAGTGGTATCTATATGTATAGCTACTATTTTGATTGCGGACGTATGGTGGTATAGAGTGAGTAAACTTTAGCATGAGTGTAGCAAGGATATTACAAGAACAACTGTGATAATTTTAATTATTAATATTTGGCTATAATTATTGTGGGTTCCAATCTTATCCCCTTGTCTCTCCGCCCTTCCCCCTAAAGAAATTTAAGAAAAAAAACAAGGGATGTTTAATGGGAATACATTAGCTTTGATAATCCCTACAGGATTGCTAGCGGTTTTGTTTTTGTATTGCATGCAAGAAGGTATTTTGAGGAGATGCGGAGTTCTAGGGCTTGATAGATTGTCCTGGATCTGGTGTCAAATCTAAGGTAGCAATGTGTGTGTTTTGGGGGAGGATATTCTTGTTGGCATCATCCCCCTGTACACTGTTTGAGTGGGATAAATCTCGGATTCTTTGCTACTGCATTTAAGTGTTTTAAATATCGAATTTTGTATGAATGCATTTGAATCTTGTGACTTATTTATCGAATGGCTTTTTGCAGGTATCTTTACTTTGGGCATGGCTAGCAGCCTTGTTTTGTAGACTGGGGAATGTTTTACTGTCCTTGCTGCTTCTGTACTGAATGTTGGCCATCAGCTTCGTGAAGCTGATCTCAATTTCACCAGAAGTTGCAATTAGAGTTTGTACCCTTGTTTACTATGTTAAGTCAAATAATTTCAGCTTCTTGTGGCATTTTGATGATGTAAGGACCAAGAATACTGATTTTATAATTATAATATTGCTATTTTGGATACTTAATTTTTCCACTGTGTCAATTCTATTCTGCTTCAGTCCGTCCTGTTGGTGTCCCAAAAACAGAAATTTCAGTTGTCGGTATTGCAAGATAGAATTCACCTGTTCCTCTTATTGTTTCTTGATTGCAGCTGTTGTTAAATGCAATTTGACTGCAATTCACCCCCTTGGATCTGACCAATGGATTCAAGGAAGCTTTGAGAGTTTGGGATTTTTGGCGGCCCTCATGTTGCCACCAGGGGTTTTTCTCATCAAACTTGTACGCTTGAAGCTAGAAGTCTGTAAACTTCTTGGTGTGATTCAAATAAGATCGCTGAAACTCGGGAATTATAATCGATCGCTGAAACTCAGAAATTAGTGATCGACCGCTGAAACTCAGGAATTAGTAATCTTGCAAATCATGCTGATGATAACAGCAATTGCTAACATATCTGGTGTGAAAAATATGATTAACATAATATTTAGGACTTTTTATGGACATCTATAGCTGGGCTTCAGCATGACTCTCTTTGAGATTCTGCAGTGCTTGCCGGATGGAATCTTCATCTTGACTGGAGTATTTTAAGCATATCAGCCGCTGAGCAACACGGTAAGCCATATGTATTGAATGATATTGTAGGCAATTCACTTCCATTCTCTTTACTTCCTATACATAGAGAAACAAAGAGCAATCCATGAAGACACCTCATATCTCCTCCAAAAATGATGAAGAAAATTTCAGTTGATATCCATTTATTCCTCCAAAAAGTCAGTATAACTCCTTTGGAACTAGAAAGATAGAAAAGACTTCGAAGATGTGTATTAGGATTTTTGAAGATAGCCAAATTTATCCTTAGGAGTGCACAGATAAATGACAGGTTTATACAATCAAATGCTAATCCAAATTCTGGGGAAACAGAGAGGTTTTGACCAGAGGCCCATGGCTAATGCAGGCTGGAGACCGATGATTCCTATCCTAGTTATGTGATCATCTAATGCACCTTTATCCTATAAGATAAGTGGTCAATGAAAACCACCTTATCTGTAATCCTTGCTGTGATGTTTCTGGCAGATTCAATCACCGAGCTTGGTAAGCCAGCCACACCTGCTAACAGAAGGCCATAATGTGGTACGTGTCGGGGTCCATCCTTCAATTGAAACTGGTCAAGGGAATCAGAATTTCGATGAAGCAGAATTTCGATAAGAAAATGCAGCTATATAATGAAAACTGGTTCATCAAGAGAATTCAAATGTTACCTTAAAATCCAATCGGTTGTTTTTCACATCCACGTGAAAGTGAAGGATTTTGACATTCGGATAAATGGTGGCTAATTCTGATAGGTTTTCCATATGAGTGGCGAATATAGTATAGCTGAAATATAACAATGAAGATATGCCCGTCTCTTTCAAATAATGTTGCTGTTAGGGGTTTGATCATCCAGCTTTCATAAATTACTCCTTGAAGTCATAGCAGCAAAGAAAGTGGATAAATGGATACGATAAAAAATTAGCTGCAAACGGACTAGTATTCATCGTGAAGGTATGGTTTTAGGCACTGTATGTCCCTAGGCAGTATGACTGCTTCAAACTGAGTAAATTTGCGTTGTTGAAAAATATACACACAAGTTTAGGATATCAAACAATCAAATTCATGAATAAGCTTTTTCATAGCAGATGTATAAAACATACTAGATCTTTTTATACACATTATGTGTGTGCTTTCATCTATAGCAACTCTAAAGTGAAAGTAAAGAATGAGTGGTCAAGGACTTAACGCTTTGAGTGCCAACAGATGCTCACAGCAGCTCCATGCAATAGCAAATCCATCAGTGGAAGAAGTTGCCCTCCCCAATTCATCCATAACAATCAGACTCCTGTGTCCAGCATACAACATCAAAATAAAAAATTCTTAAAGAATAGCAATTAATGTTTTCTGGTGACCGAAAAAACTCATTTCACTATCCCATGCCCCATAAATAGCTATGGGAGTGTGTGGTTTATGTACCTTTGGGAGACGTTCTGCATGATAAATGCCATCTCCTTCATCTCTGTCATAAACTGTTAAGACCAAAATTTATTTAGCATAATGTGGAACTTTCACCAATAATGATGCCTAAACAGAAAAGATCCTCTTTACAATTGAAACATTTTCACATGCCAAGATCAAATGGATAAAACGAGCAGTTTACTTGGCTGCTGATCTGCTAGGTACAAGTTTTTAATCCTCAGAACTGTCTGATAATCACACTGCAAAATTACTGGATATGGTCCTAGGTTCTATTATACCAGAGGGACTAGTTGAATGCCAAAGACCAGCTTCACAAGTTTCCAATCATTTTTTTTAGAAGGGAGGGGGGGGGGGGGGGGGGAAGAGATCTGATTTCTCAGGATTATTTCAGAATAATGTTCCCTTTGATATTGAAAGTCCCAGGAAATCAAATTTTGTTATTTATTATGACTGATTTGTTCTCCAGGCCGTCCCTCTCTCGCTTCCTTGCTTCCTTCTGCATCCTCATTCTGATATCTCTGTTTTTCTCTCTCTCGTGTTCTTTTTTGCTCTATTATCTTTTTACTTTCTAATGTCTGTCTGTCTATGGTCCTACATTTTGTTGTTGATTATCAAACTCCTATTTTGTTCTTGATTGGGGTGGGAAAGGAAGTGATCTCCACATACTTCTGTCACGTGTACGAGTTCAGAGGTGTACCGTACTAGAGTTTGATTCAAGATTGTCCACAGTCCCCATCCTTGTAAATATACGATCAACTACCCGTACAGTTGCATAGCGGGCAGGAATATAGCAACCAATTTGAGCAAGAATGACTATTAGGCACACTTGCTGAAGATAAGTACTCTTTCCACTCCTGAAACAACCAACACATGGCCTTTGTGAGCAGAAAAATGACCAAATCAACACATGCTCAAGCAAAGTACAATCAAAATAGTCCGAAGCAGGCACCATATGTCAGAACAGATAAAAAACTATTGCAACGCAGACAGGATGAAACAAATTAAGGCCAAGGTAATTGGTTTTTGGTTACATGGTTAAAAAAATTCATACTTATTTTTTATCCGAATTAGTGGGGCAAGTTAAAATGTTTTTCTACCAAAAAAACTCAAGGAATTCATTGAGATTGAGAATTTTAGAAATTAGAGCATACCTTGAATTGAAGGTATCTTCACATTTTTGTCAACTACAGGCTTTCGTATATAGAAAAAACTGATTGAATTGAAAGCATGGTGAACATAATTTTCTTGCAAGTTTTACTCTGCTAATGACTTCTGCCTGTTGCATATTATAATGACTATTCTGAAGCACCAACATGATTTGAAGCAAAAAAAATTGTAGTTCTTATTTTGGCTAATAAATTTGTATAATATTGTGTGATTAGAACGTGTCACTTGAGACCGATTTTCAATAATTCTGTGAAAATTTATGTGCCTGGCTAAGTAAGCTGTGACAGCACTTTATTTTGTACACTATGCATTTTCACCTTTTTGGAGACAGAAAACTTATGTTTTCTTTTAGCGTGGGAGGGGGGATTAAAAGGCCTCAGTAACTAAAAATCATGCCAAAGAGAAAACTTCCATGATAGCACTTCTTACATGTTGGGGCCCGTGACAATTACCATGTTTGATGCCTCGGAAAGAAAGATATTGTTGGGCTGCAAAAAAGAAGTTGGGCAACCAAAGTCTACATGAAGTAACCATTTTGAGTATCAAGGAGAAAAATATTGATGTTCCTAAATGAGATTGAACTTCACCAAGTAATGAAACTGATGAGATAAAAAAGGCAACTCATACAATGAAGCCGTTGTGTATACTTTCTAAAATAGGGTGTCTTCCAGCATCAATCGCCAATGGGCCATTATCTGCCAGTAGCATGACCAATCAGGCACTTAGCCCACTTCAAAAGTCATGGATATATATTTGCAAAGAGACATTAACAAAATGTTTACCTGTAAATTGAGGTCTGGTATATCGATCAACAGGCTTAGTGGATATTGTATGAGCAAATGAATTAACAATCATATCTAAAAGGCATAAGACTTCGGCAAGCAGGGTGAGCACAGAGACATCCTCCCGTATGGCATCCATTAATGCTGCATGTTAATACAAAAGGACCATGTATACTGAATCTATAACGCATTCCACCAAATAAATATGTGAAAGATAAAGAGTATACCAACTGTTGATTGCACACACTGAAAATTATGGTGAAAACACCCAGACATTTCTATTCTATTAAATTCTATGAGCTGGGAATGCATAAAAGCTAATGGAACTACAGCCAGAAATGCTTAACAAGAACTGTATGAACTTCAAATTAGCGCAACAGCAAAAAGACTTTTACTGGCAAGATGTTCAACCGATGCATGTGGGAAATACAGAAATTAAAGAGAAAAAAGCATGGCTAGAAGAATAGTGTGAAATAAGAAAAGTTATCCATTCAAGAGATTCTTGATCAGAAAAAATGATTCCCTCAAGATAGAAAGAGTATCCTTTATGTACGAGTGGTGAAGAAGTTTAAAGGAAGTATGGGAGAAAGAAAGATGCACAAATAAAAATGGTGACTTCACAAAAAAGCATCCAAATTATGATGGAAATGTAAAACCCTTGTCCTATTACATGTAAATAAAATGTTCTGAAACACAATTTTGACGGGATTTGGTGCATCTGTAAAATCTGAGTTATGCAAAGGACGGCAAATTATCTGGCACAAGCGGTGTAAGATACAAATGCCAAATTGAAGTTTTTATTTCTACAATCACAAGAGAAAATCCCTATCCAAATAAAATTAATGATTCTGTTAGTGTTGACGGTAGCCTAACCATCACCCGAATTCAGACTCTGACATCCACCTTCCCAAATCGTAAACATGCTGTATGTTCCACGCAAATGGTGATTGCTAACTCTTGTATGTTCATTGATGGAGTTGATAATAATCATGCACTTGATTGAGTGAAAGAAACCAGTAATGCTTCAATAAAGTGTGACATGTTAAACCATCTAACACTATGATGCATTATAGCAATCGAGTTTAAACCAACCTTCCAGGCAAAGTTCTGTCCGCAAGTAGCATTCCACAGCTGCAGACTTGTTCCTCACATTTAACTGCAGATTCCACGTGATAAATGAAGACAAATTAAAACAATTTCAAAATATGGGCAAGCTCAGAAAATCAAAAGCCAAATTATGAAGGCAGTATCATATAATCCACACAAAAATACATCCATTAGACACACACAAGCACATGCACAGGAGTGTTACTTCTCAATCCTTATTCACTTGCGATGCTCTAAACCATAATTGTCAGATGTCACAATGTGGCAGTTTAACTTCACTCGGAGACATACATTGAAAAACTGGAACCTAAAATAAACTACGCAAAGTCGCAAGAAATAGAAATATATCAAGGCAAATCTAGCTCTATACAGCACAAACAGCTTATCAGTTTTTTGAATAGTAGGAAATTTTATTATTGTCGATTCTTATCCCAGTTTTCTCAACTGCCTGAACAAAAGGCCCACTGAGAATTTTAAAAAACTGATATAAATCCTCTGGGTGACAAAGAGATTATCAAAAATTCGCCTCCTACCTATGTTTTTATATTGGTGTAGCAACTCATGGAGAAATTATAAGGCTCGCCAATTGCTGGCTAGTGTCAACAGCATTTTCATTCTCTTGTAATCCTTGGTATACCATAAAACTTGGAGGCAAAGACAGGTTGTAATGAAACAATTAACTGCACAGAAGGAACGGTATCTGACAAGATTTTAAAGAAGGTTGGTGGGTTTCACCAAGTTATTGAAAATTAAATCGCATACAAATACCAAAGTCATCCAACCAACGGGCCTTTGGTCCAATGGTACTCCTTACCCTTGTGATGGCTTTACCTTCTTGAGGTCAAGGGTTCAAGTTCCCCCTCCCCCTCCCCCTCCCCAAAAAAAATATAAAAAAAAAAAAAGTCATCCCGGTGCTGGATTCCTGTGGATGTGGGCCAAGTGCCAAAACCACATCAATTGAGTGTCTCACACAGTGGCTTATTTTCTTAATTTTTTTTTAGATTCCTTGGGCTTATTCTTGCATGAAATCCTTAGGGTTTTAACAGTGCATCAAAATTGCAAAACTACATTAATTTGCCAGTTGGAAATTTCACTTTTGGCAACTGATTCATGACAAATTTGATACCTTTCCAGCGGGCATTCATGGCTTTTCCTAAACTCGCCAGTCTTAATTCTTAGCAAGCTAAAAAAGATAAGCACACCCAAAACCTCTTGCCTGAAACTACCTCAAAAACACCATTAGAGTTATTTAGCATATGTCAAGTGACAAGTAGGCTGCTGCGCTGGCTGCATCTCACTAACATATACACGTATAATATACACATACTACAAAAATTAAGTGAATCAGCTTGCATTAAAGATAAAAAGGACACCAAACATTTTGATGGTCTCAGTATAATACAGATTACACATTTATCATATCTCTATGAAATGTAAGAAAAAAATTATACTCACAGAAGCTAGTTCTAGAGTTGAACAATGTATGTTGTTCCCGTGCTTTATAATCTGATTTTTGTCGCACAAGTAAATTAGAAATGTCAGCAATATTCACTAGAGGTCATATCTACTATATAGAAAAATATCTGATTCAAAACCTGAATGAACTTGCTTGGAAGTTTCTCCTGTATGTCCTTCTGTGGAATGCTAAAGTAAAATCCTTGTCTATTGTTAAATGGGATTTTCAAATTTTGCAGCCTAAAATCTTCACGATACTTATTTGCGAGGTTGTGTATAGCTGTCAAATTCAATGTTAGTTATAATGCAAGCACAGTAACATGTCTGGAACAAAAAATGAATGATTTAACAAACCTTCACTGGTGTCACAAAAAGATCTCCGTGCAATATCTAGAAGTCCATCTATTCCAGCTTTGACAGCAAAACATTGCTGCGTCCGAGCTACGAAAGGAACCCTTGCATGAAGCACATCCTCATCAATCACCTCTCCGATTCTGAATAAAACTCAAGAAGGTAAATACTTAAAACTGACTACGTCCTTATAATTCCTCACTTTAAATAACCATTTCAGTGGTAAGTATTTGTCATAGTTGAGTACTATAACTACAAACTAGTGCATTCCCTCTATTATGATCACACGTTTACAGTTAGTGGCAAACTTTCCAACTTCTAGATTAAGTTATTACTTTTCTCAACAAGTAGGGATAAAAAAATAGAGCAAGAACTTTCTATGATAAACACATTGTCCATCATCGTCGTCATTTGGAAAATGGACAGACTATTCAGGATACACATCCTGTTCCTTTATTCCCTCGTAGCTAGGTTTATTTCCTTCTCTACTGTGCAGGTGCAACAGAGTCAAAGCCAAGTATTTGCCTGAAATACCAAATCTTAGTTAATCTGTTTGTCGGCGATAAGGGGAACTCCTTTCACATTTTTTGCCAATAAGCATTTGAAAGAGCTTGGCAAGGGCAGAGTTAGCATCAAATTAAGAAAACATATGAGCTGGAACAGACTTGTCTGTTAAAGAGGACATTTTTTTTTCCTTTTTCTTTTAATGGATCAGAGAGTGCAGGTGAGATTAGCAAATTAAAAATCAAAACATAACGTGTCACATCTATTTTCTGAGGGAAAAGAAGCAGTTTTACATTTCATTTGCAAAATTGTGCTTTAAAATCCATTTACGAGGTATGATTGGAAAATGATTCTCCACAGTGTTTCTTCCTCATACTGAATCAGAATCCATTCAATAATTTTTAGGCCAAATCGGTCTTAAAAGATCTCATATTTTATCCTAATCTCCAATTGAAGGAAAAAAAAAGAGGGGGGGGGACCGTAATTTCAAGATTTTCAATCATCTAATAATGTGTTTTGAGACAAAAACAAGCATAATATGAAAGCAGTAGAAAATTTGCAATTATACCGTTTCCTTATAGTCGCATATTTTTCATTCTCACATATGGACTTGTAAACATTTGCAAGGAGAAAACTCTTTGCATCTTTAAGCACCTGATATGAAGAATAATTATTGTAATTTCAAACCATGGCCACTAAAATATTTTATGAGTAGCTAGGAAAACCCTTGTACCTTCGAAAGTAATGGCAGGGCATCTAGAGCAGTTTTAAGAAGTATAATGGAAGATATCAAAATTTGGCTCTTCCTAGCGCCACCAATGCCCAAGACTTCGCTGGTTACTTTCTTTGGCTTGAAGCAGAAATGACAAAGGATCCTATCTGGAGGAAAAGCATTAATCAGTTCAATTTTCTGAAACCACCTAAAGATATATCAGCCCTCTAGAAGTGTGACACAAAGTTTGCTTTTTTTTTTTAGTTTTTGCTTACCAATTTCTTTTGGAAACTTCCGAAGAGCCTGGGACAGACCGAAGAACAGCTGCTCATTACTCATCAGTTCATCCTACAGATGAATGTCAAACCTAACATTAAATTAGTGATTGAAATAGAGCATATGTATCTTGGAAAAAAAATTGCTACAAGCTGTGCCTTAATTTCATCAAGAAGAAGCCAAGTTCAGGTCATATATGAACCTTACTAGAATGAGATAAGTTAATTTTGTACCTTTTGTTTAACTTAAATGAAAAAGAGGGACAAAATATCTGTGATATGGTGGTTGAAAAGAATCTTTTGGAACTCACATTCTAAAGTACTGGCCAATGAGAAAAAGATAATACATCTGGATTGAGGAATTCATTGACGACACTAACTTTTGAGATGTCCAGGTCCATTAGCCCAAGGGACAAGTGGCACTTCTCAAACTATACTACTTGTGAAAGATTACTGCCCACGAGAAAATCTAGTTCACAAACCTTGAAAATTATCTGATGACACAATAATCACATCGAGATTTCACTCAAACCTTGAATACTATCTATTCATCAAACAATTGTGTGAAGATAGAAGTAGGTGACTATAGATAATAACAGAATCATCTTAATAGAAGATTAATGCAAAAATTATCAGCCACTTCGACCGCGGGTTAATTCCTCACATTTTCATTTTATGTCTAATGTCTGTCACATTTCTAGTTCAGTTATTTGCCTTAAAAAAAATTCGCATAAGCACTCCATTGATCTCAATATTGATACTACAAGCACTTGGTTTAACGAGATGTTGTAGCAGCATTTCTCAGGGACATGACATGCATATTTCCTTGTTCTTTGTTAAACTTACCTGTGAGAGAGGCAACACATGAATACATGGTTCAAGTTCGCAATATCGAACACTAACTCGCGGTATCAGTGGCGGTGTCGCAGAATGGTATCACTTGAAATAAATGTGAGCAAAGAAAGGGATCCAAACTAAGTGTAGAACACCCGTATATATAACCAATGAAAAAAAGGTAAAAAAGAAAAACTATAATAAACCCTAATAAATTAAACTGTAATATCTCTAACACTCCCCCTCAAGTTGGGCGCAAAAAATGTCAACTAAGTCAAACTTGACAACGGAGTCCCGAAGAATGGATAGAGTGACAGGTTTGGTGAAAACATCTATAACCTGATCACCGGTCCCCACAAATGATGGAGTGACAATACCACTGCTAACCTTCTCCCGAAGAAAGTGAATATCGATCTCTATATGCTTCGTCCTCTCATGTAATACAGAGTCAGAAGTGAGCTGAATAACAGATCGATTATCATAATATAATGTAAATGAAGAAGTCACTGGAAATCCCAACTCGCTAAGAATCGATCGTAGCCAGATAATCTCATATGTGGCAAGTGTCAATGCCCGATACTTTGCCTCTGCTGACGAGCGGGAGACAACTGACTGCTTCTTGCTCTTCCAAGAGATAAGATGAGTCCCTCGAAAAGCACAAAAGTCAATAGTAGATCGACTGGCACACGCTCCCCCATAATCTGAATTTGAATAACAGGCTAGAGAACCAATCTGAGATTCTGATGCATAGAACAACCCAAGTCCAGGACAAGACTTGAGGTACCGAAGAATATGATAAACTGCATCAAGATGAAATTGACATGGTCTGTACATGAACTAACTAACTCGGCTGACAGCAAATAAAATATTTGGCCTAGTGTTGGCTAGGTAGATAAGTCTATCTACCAACCTCTGATAGATAGTCGGATCTCTCAACTCCTCACCTTTAGCAATAAGCTTCAGGTTTGGAATCATGGGTGATGATGCCGGTTTATACCCCAGCATCCAAGTGTCTAAGAGAAGATCCAAAACATATTTTCTTTGGGAAAGAACAATTCCCCTGCTGCTACGGACAACCTCAATCCCAAGAAAGTATCGCAAAAATCCAAGATCCTTTATATCAAAGGTCTTTCCAAGGTCTACCTTGACATGCGCAATCCCAGAAACATCATCTCCAGTAATAATAATATCATCAACATATACCAAAAGAATAACACACTGTCCAGAAGTATTCCGTCGAATGAAGCAGGTATGATCAGAATGGCATCTGGTGAACCCTAAACGTACAACTACATCACTAAAGCAAGAGAACCAGGCTCGTGGTGACTGTTTCAGTCCATTAAGAGACTTACAGAGTCGACACACCTTTCCAGCATACTCTCCCTCATCACGAAAGTCTGGTGGTGCATCCATATAAATAATCTCGTCCAGATTATCGTGAAAAAATATATTCTTCACATCCAACTGATGAAGAGGCCAAGAATATCAATCGAACAGTAGTCAATTTTGCCACGGGGGCAAAGATAGCACCAAAATCACGACCTGGTACCTGAGTAAAGCCATTCGCCACAAGCCTAGCCTTGTGACGATCTATAGTACTATCCGCAAGAAACTTCAGAGTGTAAAACCAGCGACAGCCAACAGGCTTCACCCTTAAAGAGGTAAGATCCCACGTATGATTATGCTGAAGAGCGTCCATCTCCATCTGCATGGCAAGAACCCACTGTGACTCCCTTATAGCCTCTAAAATAGAGCGAGAAACCGACGTATCTGATAAAGCCATACTATAAGCTCAAAATGTAGAAGATAAATTACCATAAGACACATAAGCAGAGATCAGATATAAAGTCCTAACAGTCCAACTATAACGAACAACTGGACGACGATCACACTGCGGATAACGACACTCTAAATCATCATCCTCCACTGACAATGTCTTATCAGGAAAAATAATCGGCTCAGTACCTGCAATCTCATCAGTACTAACAATAGGTGCATCAATCTGCTCAACGAACTGAGAAGTATTACCTGCATCACCTGAGGTAGAAGGGATATCAGCAGGAGGATAAGAGCAAGGGCAACGAACATAAACCTACAAAGGAAGAGAGACTGATGACTCTATACTGACAGAGACGAGTGGCTCTGGAGAATGAGAGACTGATGACTCTGTACTGATAGTGACCAATGGCTCTGGCTCATGTCATATGACCATTTGCACTCGAGTCCAATATCCAAAGGGGAGACGGACTGGCGCAAGCATGAAAGGCACGAGGTATACCTGTAGTGGTGGCAGTAACAGTAGTCGGACCTTGAGAAGTCAGGGCGGATATAACTAATCAGGAAATGATAGCATCCATGTCACTTTGCCAAGGAGGAGCTGCAGCATGAACAGCAGCAGTAGGTGGTGGTATCTTAACAACAGCAGCAATACGACTGCGAGGAAGCAGCTTAAGCTCCGGATAGAGCTTCCAGCAAATAGCCTAGAGATGACCTGATCGGCCACAATAATAACACTGACGAGAACCAGGAGGTACATTCCAGGTGAAAGTACTAACAGCAGAGGTTTCAAGAGTAGAGGTCTCAAATCCCTCAACAGTAGCCATAATAAGAATAATACTAGGGCACCCGTGACGGAAAAACAACTCTAAGATAAATAGAGAGATAAAATAAAGGAGAATAATAGACCTCTAGTCGAACCGTAGCGACAGATAAAGAAGGTTCAAAAAACTCCTAAATAATAAGGTCACGGTGCCCAGAAATCAAATAAATATAAATAAATGATCTACTACATCAAGAGCATATCAACGAAGACAAGAAATGCAAAGGACGAAGCCACAAAAAATCGTGACCCGACAGTGGGCAGATGAGTGGACTGGTTTGTGGTAAGTGACCCAGCAGTGAGCAATAGGCAGTGGGCTGGTCTGAGGTATATTGGGTTTGGGCTGGACAGGACTGGACTGGGTTTGGACAGTGGATTGGCTGATTTTAATATGGGCAGTCGGTTATTGGTTTTCTATGTTGGAGTTTGCCGGTTTGTTGGAGATTGTCATTGTCGGTTTGTATTTTTGCTGGCTGATTTCGGTGGGTGTTGTATAGGCAGTCGGTGTCGGCTTTGGTTGTTGGTTTTGATGTTTGATAATGGTTTTTAATAGAGGCAGTCGGTGTCGGTTTTAATGGAGGCAGTCGGTGCAGTGGGTTGGTTTGATAGAGGCAGCAAGCTGGTTAATGTGATTGTGGGTTGGTGATCGCTGGTGAGGAAGACGGAGAAGGTTAAGGTTAGGGTTAGGGTATGGCTCTGATACTAACTTGAAATAAATGTGAGCAAAGAAAGGGATCCAAACTAAGTATAGAGCCCCCGTATATATAGCCAATGAAAAATACAATAAGGGTAAAAAGGTAAAAAAGAAAAACTATAATAAACCCTAATAAATTAAACTGTAATATCTCTAACAGTATCAGGTGATATGACTTAAAAAGAAGAAATTGAGCATAATGAAAGATGCTGGCTATATCGTGGTATCAACCAATTCAGTGACGATAACTTGGTGACTTTGATAGACTCGAAGTTCACTCGGAGATGTCTCAGACGACTCGGCCAAGTTGTGTGAGACTTATAATTTATGTGTAACATGTAATGGTATCGATCTGACATAGTCCAAATACAGAATTAAAAACTAGCAATGTAGAATAAGTTGTTGAGGAGAGATGTGATTAACAATAAAGAAAAACACAGTTTCATTTCATTGACATAATAAATATGACTAAGCGCACTGTAATCCAGTATAGGACTATAATGCACAAATACAAAAGGTAATAGATGGGTAAGCCGATAAGTCCTAACAAAGACAATATAACAACAGTAAATAATAGTTTGAATACAAACTTGCTTATGGAGTAGATTCATCCACTTATAAATGGAATTTGAGTCCAGGCTCAAGAAAATAACATTCATTACTGACCAGGCAATCAAGTCGAGCTTTAATAGTTTCACTGTCTTTCAAAGGCTGCAAAAGATTGGCCCGTAAAAGTCTAGTACTGCAGAAGATTTGAAAGCAAATTACATAAAACGTAATGAAAACATGACCTGCTCTGCAGATGCATAATATGAAAAAAAGAAGTCTACACTCTGCACTGATGGCTAAAACTTAAATCGTCTCATCACCACTAAGAAATGGAAAGCGAAAAAAAAAATGTAGTGTACAAAATGTAGCAACTTATTGTATACTGTAATCAGTATATACATTTTCAAGTTACAATTTGAAAGCATAAGCCTCTAGATATGCTTTATTTCACCACTTAAAATAATTCGTATGTGGTCCAATACAGAAAACTAGGAAAGACTATGCAGAAACTAATATTAAAACATGACTGCAGAAACTGATTGTATGATATGTTGCATCAATTTATCAGTATGGTCATTGGCATACCCTCCAGTAGTTCTTGTTGTCTTAAGCATATGAAACAGACTTCTCTTTTTGTTGTTTGTACCCCAAAGAGAAGAATGCATTGGCTCTATAATTTCCAAGTTCTGGACACTGTCATCAAATTTCAACTATAAAATTTAGCAGCAAAATGATCCTAAAAAGATTGGCAGTTTCATAATGTTTCTTCCACAATGTCATCCTGGAAAGAATTTTGGAATTCTTCCTAAAATGATTGGCACTTGTAAAAAGTTTGAATGAACATGATCATTTCCAAAAACAAAACAATAATCGCCCTTCGCATTCACCAAGGGTACCTAGTAGCATCAATATTCATGTGGTCGAATGATCCATTGAAAGTAACCTGGGAAAAGATCAAAATGCACAACAGAAGTAAAAGTCTGATCCTGAAAAGGCAACAAGAGTTTAAATTGTATTATTGAATCATGATCAAGAATTATTTTAAATTATATTGTTGAATCATGATCAAGAATCATTTCTTTGAACTTCTAGAGCTATTCCATCCCCTTGTTCTTTTTCATTTTTACTTCTTACAGACTAGGACATTCAAACAACAAACATAAAACCTTAACTTATGGGAATAATTTCTTTAATAAAACTTAATGTGCATACATGCATGCATTACATCTATACAACTACACATACCCTGTGAACCTTAAGATTATCAATAAGGTCATAACTACCAAATTCCCACTGCCACTCTCCTTTTTGTTTTCCCTCCGCAATTCAACTTTCACTGAAAGTGGATGACCAGCAACTTGATTGCCAGCAACATTATACACTAGACATACATGAAATATTGGAGTGTTATTTGAGTTCAAAGACCACAAAGCCGGGAGATTTTGGAAGATTTCAAATTACGAGGTATCACAAATTTTTTTGGATTCTTCACCACCATCATATGGGCACATAAATGCTCAAGGAGCCCACTCAATGCCGCCTTGAAAATTTGAACGAATGGCCAAAAGTGGCCCAACACTGATGGATAAAATGCTCTAAATTTGAGTATGATTCTCAAGGAGTTATGTCTTTTTGTGTTCTAATAACATAGGATTCCACATCTGGCATTTGTTTCACATATTAATGGAGACAACTATATAATACTGAAAACTTGAACTCATTGAGGCTTCTGCTACTGGTAGGAGAGGCTGAGAAATGCATTTGAAAACAAACACATACCAACAATGAGTGGTTTGTAATGATGACCCCCTTCTCTGCTTCTGTCCTGTGCATGATGCAAACATGGGTTTCAAATGTCCACAACTTAAGCAAGAAAAATATTTAATGCATACTGTGTTGCACAATGTATTATTGGCGTTCACAGTTTGAGACAACTTAACTGAAAACTTAGATGACAAACAGGTGCCCAATTATACTTTTTGACTAGACAGTAAACTGCCCATTAATACAAATACAAATAAAGGCTGCTGCAAAACATTCAGGGCAGAGTTTTTAAAAGCAGACCAACTGGATGTCATCTGGAAACAAGTACAGATCAAGATACATATTTATGCTTTATTCATGGAATGAATATCATTTTATCACGTCTAACAAGTGGGAATCCAGAGTTTTGAAGTACCACTTGATGGTTGCAGCTGCCGCAGCCAAGCATAGATAGTATTGCTTGTAGTAGGTATCCAAACCAAGTGCAGACGGTTCTTTGGCAGCTAAATTTTTAACCAGCACAGCTCCCTTTAGTATGAAGTTGCAACGGTATTTTCAGGAAAGAAAAATACATGTCAGAATCTAAATTCAATTGAAAATGCTCAAAAGATGCATAAGAAGTTGGCACTACCCTGGTGTCATCAAAGCAACCACGGGCCATTATGACCTGCATATGTCAGCACATAGAAAATTTCTTAGCGTCTTCGACATTAAAATTCATGAATATCACACATACTCAGAGATCACCTTTTTTATTGAAGAATAAAATTTGTCCACCAGTTCTGAGACTCCAACCATACCATCGGGCGCCAGCTTATTGGGAGAAACAATAATCACCATGGGATCATAGAAATGCAGCAAGGTCTTTGAATTTTGATACGAACTGCTGGTTTCAATGTATTGAGAAAGATGCAGCGAAGCGGATCTTAAGTCAAAAGCAGCCACTCCAACCTGTCATAAATTGCTACCGTCAGTTATGCACAATCCATGTTGGTGGTAATCACAAATCAATTTCAGTCACTTCAACCATTTCCACAAGATTGCTCCATTTGGCATCTGAATCCAATATCTATGAATACCAGTGAATATTGAAATTATTTTGATATCATTCACTAAATTTTTGAATCAAGTTTCAAGTCTCCAGTCATTTCATAACAATATGAAGAACTATTTCTCTAAACATAATAGATGTGTACAATTACACTGGTTGCATTAATGAAACATGTGTCCTAGAAAAGTTGCTGAGGGATATAGCAAGAATCTGATTTTTCCAACACGTGCAAGTAGATCATCCTTGAAAAAATTAGTGTCGCAATATATCAACTATCAAAGAACACAAAATCAATTCTGACCAAAAGCTTGTCAGAGAGAATAAACCACAAACTCCACTTGTCAAGAGAAACACACAATCGTTCTGCTAAAACCTCCTAACGAAGATTCAAACCTAAATCAGTCGCATCCAACCACCCCTTTGTTAATATACACAACAGAAAAGTGTAACTTAAGAATAATAATCTCCGAATTCATTTATTATCTTCATAGGTAATTGCCTGACAGAACAACAAATCAGGACGTGATCACTACAAAGAAAGCGTGAACCAATACAAGCACTATTTCAGCTTCTGAAAATTTCCACTAAATCAGATTTCTCTGAAAACTGAAAGCAAAATTCGAATTCATTCGTATATCCTCATTTGTCCATGAATATCCGCCACTTTCTTCACAAGATTGCCAAACAAATATTCAAAAATCTCAGATCATCTCTTCAGCAAAACATATGCATATAGCATATAGGCACACGTATAGTGCGTTCCTGTATTCACACACAGCGAGAGTATATGCATAAATTCATGCGACTGTTTTACTGTGTACGAAGAGAGAGAGAGACCTCCTTAGCTCGGTTCTCAATGAGACCGATGACGAAGCTTGATCTCTCTCCGGTATCGTCCTCCATTGAGCTCCACTCAGTCTCAGCAGTGAACACCAACTCTACTGATTCTCAAGTGATGTGCGCGCCATTTTATGTTTGTTTCATGTACGGGTGCCCCCCTCTCGGTTCTATCCCGCTCTGGGTCCGTATTTTCATAAATTTTATTTTATTTAAATTTTGATAATTTAAATAAAATAAAAATAATATTTTTTCATAAATATTTTATTTTTAATGTGAATAATTTGAGATTAACCGACATTCACGTGACCTGACGTAAACAAATAAATAAATAAGATTACGAAAGTTGCAAGGTAATAGAATCAAATTGAAGGTTTCACTCTGCGACAAAATAAGTGTATCATCCGTCTTATGCAAAAAAAATATATATATATATACTATAAAATTAATTCCAAATTTTAAACAAATAATCACACTTTAGTCGAACTTGGCTTCATAATTTCATATAATCAGGAAAGTTAAGGCTTCGCACTCAATTGAAAGATTTTTAATGTTTGAGAATTGTGTTTTAAAAATGAGTAATTTTTTTTTACATAAAAATTTTATATTTAAATTGATCGTGAGTATTATCAAATATTAAAACTTACTATTTATTCAATAATTCTCATTAAGTCATATTATTATGTTAATAAGGAAGATCAAATTTTTAAGTTACAAAATTTATCAAACTAAGTTGATCCTAGGAGTGTTCATGGGCCAAATCATTCATGAGTCACACTATCCGCCTTGAAAAAATAGACTCAAAATTGATAGATCCGATAATTAACTTACGTTGAATCTGAACCCAATATCCTTGAAGATAGAGGTTAGACCTTTCCCAGATCCATTACCCCCACCCTAATAGCTTGCCTACAAAAAAAAATCCGTTAAAACCTAGCTCAAGAATCCGTCTATCCAGTCCAATTAAAACACGAAAATAAGCCTCTCAATATCCAAATTCAAAATTATAAATAATATATATTTATTTTATGTATTAAACATACATGTTTTAAAGAGTAAACTCATGCAATTGATATATAAGTAGGTAAATGTCAATCTAGTGAAAGTTGTTCATTCTATTGTGATATAATTTCTCTCCTATTTATAAATAAAATTATTCATTATTTATTTTTTTTGTTCATTTTAACTCTATTTTTAATTTAAAAATATAATTTATAAAAAAAATTATTATTTTTAAATAGAGTTATACACAAAAAGTATATCCAATAAGTCCGCTCGCATGCCCTCTCAACAGGCGCTTAGTAGAGTTGAGAATAAATTACCTTTATTCAAAGTCCAACCCGATTCAATCGATAACTTATTCGGGCAAATACTCGGCCCTACCCCCAATCCAAAAAAAAATTTTGCAGCCAGAGCCCAAGCCGGTCCTGGACACCCCCCCTAGAACTTGATCCTCACAAATTGTCTAACGACTCTAATTTCTTTCCCCTTTAAGAATAGCCTACAAAGAATAACGACTCTAATCACTATTGATCTATTAAGATCATCCATACCTACTATGATATTAACATAAAGTCATAAATAGAGAGCTTAAATAAATTTCTCCAAACTTCAAAAATGATAAACGAGGATCACATATTTGAATATACCTAATATCCACCGACTTAAATTAAAAAAATCAAACATTATTTATAGGGTAAATTACACTCAAATTTATTATTTAATCACATAAACTCCCTTATATTTTGACATATTACTCCTAGACCCTCGTGGATGACAATTAATTGACAGATGCAACTAAACAAATCAAAAGACTTAAAAACCCCAAGATATTTTATAAAATTCTTTATAATGACCAGACTACCCTTCTAGTTGAGTATATAAGGTTTTCCATCTTAGTCACTTTATAGAGTGTCTATCGCGCATTCAGACATTCTTATTGAGTTTGTTCTCCTCCAAATAAAGAACACTTTAGGACATTTGAAGATCCTTGACGTCTGATAATTCTTGATGTTTGGAGTTCTCTAAGTGTAAAGTCAAAGTCATTCAATTGAGAATGTGTTCCAAATGACTGGTTTAAGAAGGGCAGTTTGGTAAATTATTTATATATATCATGATAATATAATAAATTCTTAATTATTACCTTGACTGAGACTGGATAGGGGTTATACATGTATAAATTTTAAAGGGTCTAGATGTAATATATCAAATATGAGGATAGTCTAGGTGATTAAGTAATAAATTTTAGATAGTCCGAATGTAATTTACCCTAATTTATAAGTGAAATACGGCGTCGTTTGTCTATCCGCACTGACAAATTGAGGATCGGCTCTTGGCTGTCAATGGCGGGTGGTGGGAACGTAATCTCCAACCACTCGGACATGTGGTGGGTGGGTCGCTAAACATTGGGAGAGGGTGAGAGAGAGTGGCAACGAGAGATAAAGGTTGGACATGAGCTTTCTTCGAAGAGTGTCGTCAAACTTACCTCAAATTCTGGGATCCACGAAATGGTCATTCAAATCTCTGAAATTCCCAGGAGACTCCCTCGACGGCTCTACTTCTCCCTCTCTCACCCATGGCATTCACGTCTTCCAATGCCCTGTAATTCTTCTCTCTCTGTCTGTCTCTATCTATCTCTCTCTGACAGACACAGACACAGACACACACACATATACTTGTGGTTTTCAAAAGAAGTTATCTTTTCGAATGATTGGAATTGTTTATTTTTGCATTGTATTTGTACTAGCATCAAAATGGATTCGTTGTAATTGCGATGGGAATTGAGTTGAGATGGGGACATTTTTTTTCTAGGACGCCATTGGAGTTGTTGCAAAGCTATCGGATTGTATTGCTTCAAATGGTGGAAACATACTCGTTGCCGACGTTTTTGTCCCCGAAAACAAGGATGTCTTTTACTCGAGAAGGTTTCTCTCCTACTCCCTGTCTATTTCATGTATTAATTTGTTTTTATGAGACCTTTTTTAACTTGTTTGTATTCACATTATGCTTTACATTGAACCAATGCTATTTCGGTTCTTGACAAAATTTCTAGCATTAACCGTTTGTTTTTTTTTTTTTGTTACACTCGTTTTGGACTACATTTTATTAACTTGGTATATTAACATGCTTGATTATTATTCAATTGATTTATTTTGATTTTATTGAAAATTTGTAGTGCATTTGGAGGATTATTATATTCAGTTTTAGAGATGCTTTGTTATTTTTAAATCAAGGCTTTGTTGTAAGTTTAACTTTAAGAGAGTTAGAAGTCAGTGGGAATGTAGAATTTGAGATATTGATCCTCAAAAAGATTATAAGAATGCAATTTGATGGAATATATCAGCATTTCACATCCAAATTTATATTGCAATGACATTTTGAAACAAATTTCGAATCTGAAAAAAGGAATTCTGAGAAGGACGGGTTTGTTTTATCCTGGCATTCTTGCATATTACGAGAAACTGAAATCTTAATTTTCAAGGTGAAAACATGTTTCTCTAAAGGTAGAGTTTGTGGCCAAATAATCAGTCATTGGTATGCAATTCTACATTTCTGTTAGTAAAAAATTAGAAAGCAATTTCAGATGTCCAATTGATTTCAATAGAATAACAGATCTTACATTTAAATGTCAGTACTATTATAAGAGATCATAATAGTATGCAATTTCAAATGTCCAACTGGGTTCGGTACAACAAAAGATTTTACATTTGAATTTCAGTACTTGATTTTCTTCGTAATTTAAAGCCAATAATTTTTAGTTCGCATGGAATTTATGTATCTTCAACAATGTTATTGTGTCTTGTTGGTTCTCTGTTTTCTATATAGTATGAACACACAAATCCATCTAAGCTTGAGAAAACGGGATTTCAAATTCTCTGTCAAAGAAACTAAATGCTTCTAAGTCAAAGAGGCCTGCAAGGCTGTTGTATGGTTCTTGTGGAGTGGATCACTGCTCCAGTGACTAGACAAATGCTTTAAGAGGTCTAAACAATCTCAGCATATGACAAAAATAACAACAGTGAACCTAACACATATTAGTTGGTACTAGACAGTGGAATATTAGTAAGAAGTATTGGCATGGAGCCCGCTACTTGTGTAGTTTTCTGTGATATGAGATGGTATTTAAGACCTGATCCATGAAAATATAAGAACTAAAAGTCTGCTGCTACTTACAGTGAATTTGTCTTCAACCCTGCCAAATGGCCGAGGTTGCAAATGGACAAGGATTTCCTTAAGATATCAACAATATTCAATGCAATGAAGTGTGTTGTTCGGGTGCCTGCTGTCGACCCCAAGTACAAGATCGCGGTTCTTGCTTCAAAGCAGGTTTCTTTCTTCACTTTTCGCTCCCTACTGGTTTGTTTTCCCATTATTGATCAAGAGCTTGGCTAAGCTGAATACGGCAAAGTCACAGATAACATGTGGTTTCTGTGCTTCACATATAGACGCTTTTGTTATGTTGGTGCAGGACCACTGTCTTGTTGATTTGTTGCATGGCTGGCAGGATGGAAGACTTCCAGTTCACATAACTTGTGTAATAAGGTAAAGGTTGAGGATCTTCGTCCTTTTCACTGTCCAATCGGTTTCAAATGTGTTGACAATGATCTGGACTGCATTTTTTAACAGTAATCATGATAGAGGCCCAAACACCCACGTGATTCGACTTCTTGAAAGGCATGGAATCCCGTATCATTACTTGCGCACAACTAGAGAAGACAAAAGAGAAGAAGAGATCTTTGATTTGGTTAAGGATACTGACTTTCTTGTACTTGCTCGATATATGCAGGTAATTTTTTTAATTACCATGAGTTAAAATATTTTCTCTTGTTTTTAGTTAAACAAGAAAAAATTTGTGCGGTTGTATTCTCAAAGGTTAGGCATGTAGTGGGAGAACCAACTTGTCCTTGTATTCCCCCTTCTGCTGTCTATCAGCGATATGATTTGTAGAGACTTGCTTGTGTTTTCAAATCGCCCACTGCATTGACTGTAGTCCACAACTTCTATTGAGTCTGCAGATATTATCCCGAAATTTTTTAAAAAGCTACAGGAAAGATATAATTAACATTCACCATGGCCTACTGCCTTCGTTCAAGGGTGGGAATCCGTCCAAACAGGTTCGGTTTTCTAGCCTTCTTCATGGACTTATGATGGTTCTAGGTCAGGCATTTCAAAGGCTTTCATTTTACACGTATAATCTGTAATACAATGCTGACAGGCCTTTGACTCCGGTGTGAAATTGATTGGTGCAACAAGTCACTTTGTCACTGAAGAGCTTGATGCAGGACCAATCATCGAGCAAATGGTGATTATTTTCATGTTTGATACTTCATTGAATTTTGCTTGTTTTAGTTTTTAATAACTCCTGTAGCTGAAGATTTTTAATTCCTCCTGTAGCTGTACCTGCTAACCATCTGTGCAAGTTGTATATGTTGTTTAGAATCACGAGGTGCAGCTTACTAAAAATGATTGAAGCTAGACATGCAATACCTTTAATGACAGTGTCATATCAACCTGCAAATTGGTCTAGCATGGGGGGTGCCCAAGCTCTATCAAGACAGAGTGATTTGTTGATTTAGTGACATATTGCCATGCCTATGCAAATGTTATCCTAACCCATGTTGTAATCAAACGTTAAGGTGCATACCCAAAAGATAAAAATAAATAAAAAACTAAAGTCTAAGGTATTACTTGGTTCTCGTTTAGAAATCATGTGTCTTGCTTCAAATTATTTAGAAAGTTTTTTTCTCTTTTAAGTAATGATTATCTTCAAATGTTATTTGAATGGTGCCTAAACTTAATCTGCATTTTACTGCAATTTATTATTGGTCACGCTTGCTTGCATTTTGATGCTGCTCTGCTAGAAGTTTCTGCATATTGGACTAAATAGTTGTAGTTGATATTCATTTCTTCTTCTTTAAACCTTGCTAGTTTAATTACCACGTGCGCTCTCATACTATATACATAAATGTGCGTATGTTTCAAACATAGAAAACTTTCATTTGGGATTGTATTAAATTACTTTAGTTTTTTTTTTGGTCAGGTGGAGAGAGTCTCCCACAGAGATAATTTGCGGAGTTTTGTACAGAAATCTGAGGATCTTGAGAAACAGTGCCTTGCAAAAGCAATAAAATCTTATTGTGAGCTGCGAGTTTTACCTTATGAGGAAAACAGGACTGTTGTATTCTGAGAATTTTTTTCTTAAAAGTTTGTGTCTAGTGCATAAGGCTTTCCGCGTACTACAAGTTAAGAGAAAGGCATATGGTAGGCAATATTATTCTTATTTTGGAGGGGCTGATTTCCGGTACATTCCAAGTGTATAATGAGTTATGTGTGTACATTCAATTTTAATAAAAAATATCTAATATAAAAGTTTCATCGCTGCCATTTATTTGTGCCCAATTATGAAAAAACGCCTCACAAAGTTACTAACCAGTCAACTAAGTAAGCAACATACTGGCACTCAATAAGGGAAAAAAAAAAAAAAAAGGAAGATAATACACAGAAAAATACATTTCTTCTTATTCACAAGTTGAAAATTACATTCTCAACCCCAAAACCAGAGACCATAACACTTGACACCACCACAATACAACAATACAAAGAACCTCTTAAGCATAGTCTTCAGAGGCTGGGAGAGGGGAATAGGACCCAATGAAGATGTCACCATAGATCAAGCCAGCCAACCCTCCACCAATGAGTGGGCCGACCCAATAGATCCAATTTTGTGAGAAATCTCCGCTAGCAACGGCTGGCCCAAATGACCGGGCTGGGTTCATTGATCCACCACTGAATGGCCCCGCAGCTAGAATGTTCGCACCGACGATGAACCCAATTGCAATGGGCGCAATGATTCCGATTGAGCCCTTCTTAGGGTCTGCTGCAGTTGCATAGACAGTGTAGACCAGTGCAAAGGTTATGACTATCTCCATTACTACTCCTCCCAATGCATTCATTCCTGCAGCAACTCCATGGGTAGGAATAGCCTGCCAAAACGAATGGAAATATTGACTTCAAATTTTGATAAATTCTTGGTAAGACAGATTTATTTTTTATGAACACATTAATTTTGATGTGTAAGTTTGTCAATTGATCGGATTTTAACATATCCAAATTCGAATTCAAAAGTTTCGATAATCTGTCTAATTTTATTTTCATGATCAATATCTGAACATATTAACAATCTGAAATCCGTTATGTTCCGATCAGATCCGAATCACTTAAATTAAATATATTTTAATAAATTAAGCCTAAATGTTAACTAATTGTTTAAAATAATCACATAATTTCTTTAATATTTATAATAAAATACATAAATAATTTGAATCGAATCATAAACGGATCGGATATATGTATTTCAAAACCTAAATCCGTGAAATATAAGATATAAGATTCGAGTTCATATTATCAGTAAAAAAATTATTAATTTATATCCGCCTAATTGGATTTGAATTCGAATTAGAATTCGATTCATTGAAAACCTAACAATGTGGATGACTTATTTTTGATCAAATTAGGGAGATGAATAGTCGAGGTGCATCAAGATGTGCATAAGTTAACTCGAACACTTCCGACTGTTAAACCGAGAAAAAAAAATTGTAGTTTTTATAATTGTTGGGGGTGAATATGGGAAATGATTTTCTTAGTATAATTTTTGGGGTTATGTACCTCGCCATTTGTAACGAACTTGAGGAGGAGGCAAGCGACAGAGGCACCAAGCAATTGGGCAATCCAATAGAAGAAGCCAGTGAGGATGGTGATGTTGCCTCCGATGGCCAGGCCGAAAGTGACGGCCGGATTTAAATGGCCGCCGGAGATGTTGGCAGCGATGGAGACCCCAACGAACAGTGCAAAGGCATGAGCCACGGCCACTGCTACCAAACCAGGTGGGTCTAGAGGTGCATCCGATGAGAGCTTATCTGCAACCATCACAAATAAAATCTCATAAATTTATATGATTTAATATTAATATAATATGTTCGTTTATCGTGTCTTATCTAAGTTCACATGTATAATTCGAGAGCCAGAAATTCATAACTAAAATACTAATTGATCTTTTGCAAACCAACATAAAATCTACCGAGCGTAAAACCTATGAAATCGTGCCAGAATTCTAAGTTTATAATCATTCATGTAATACCAGGCTTAGAAATAAAAAAATATATATATATATATTAAATTTTTTACTATATTTGCTACTATGTTAGAAAATTATGTCATTTTCGATTTCTTGTCCAAAACTAATCAAGCATAACCTACTAGTTTGGTATTCAATGGGCATCATGTTAATAGCGCAAAAAAAAAAAATGTTCACCTCTAGTTCAAAATTTGGTCCCCTATAGAATACTCCGGATAAGTTACAGAAGCTACTATTAGTGCTAGTTAATTCATAATAAACCTACTGAGTGCTAAAAGAATTGGTCACTAGCGGGGGCTAGCCCCAGGGGGTTGGGGGGTTGTATTATGAAAGTACTTACTGAAAGCAATGGCGGAGCCAACGCCGGCGAACACGAAAAGAAGGGTGGCAATGAACTCCGATAAATAAGCCTTTAGCGACGCAACACTAAAAGAGTCACCAACGCTACCAAAAGCTATCTTCACCATTTTTACTCGCTTGAAAGAAAATTACCCAAATAGCTTTCTGAAAAGAAAAAGAGAAACACTCGAAAAAGGAAGCTCAAGAGTCCCAAGGTTGCTAGCTACAACTCTAGTGAGTATTAAGCTCCACTCTTAATGGTATATATACTACACAGTCTTACGATATATGTATTTTTCAACTCTTAAGTTGAGTTCTTAGTTTCATTATTTTTTACGAGCAAGGATACTTACACTTAATTTATTGATTTAATTATTTATAATTATTAAATTGACAAAAAATTTCAATATTTGTCGGCACCCGCAGCCAATTTAATGGTTGTGATGAATTATGTCAGTAAATTAGATACAAGTAGAATAATTATTTGGGTAAATGTTGGTTGACTTTGAGCTATAATAATGACAAGTTCAAGTCACGGTGATTAACTGCTGAACTCAAAAAAATAGTCAATACAAACTTGAATCTTTTAACAAAAAAAATATAAAAAATGATAAGCACTCATCTATCCAATTGATACGTCCAGGCTAAAATTTGAGAATTAATTCGTCCAATATAAAATTAAAAATTTCTTAGTGTTATATTACTTTCCTTTATTATAATCCGTTATGAGCGAGAGTCTCGTATGTCAAATAGAACTTTTTGTTTAAATTTGTCTATAAAGTGCAGAGTCGGTAGCAAGAACAGCCACTGCAGGCACCGACCATATGGCCTACAAGAGTGAACAAGAGCCACTAATCGGTGCCGACCCACCGGCCTTGCTTCAAAATAATACACATGATGAACATGGGAATTAGATAGTGATGGGTGAGAGAGGGTTTGTTGAGGAATTCAAAATTCCCGCCCTCCCGACATGATTGGATGATATTGAACTTTAATAAGATTGCTTTATTTTTTAAGTCGTTAAGCGATGATGATAATGAGATTTGAATTTTAACGTTTGTTCTTTAAAAATTTTATTTTTGTCGTTATATTATTTATTTCTAGTTCGTTATTATTCCAATGGCGTGAAACACCTTGTTGTGAGGGGATTGACCTTTCCAGCAGAGGGGGAATGGTCCCTTGAACACCCATCTTTCGGTGTTTGGCGTCAGTGTGAGGGCAAACCAAAGCCATTGTTCCACAATTGTAAATAGGGTGTCCAACTTGTCGGGATTAGTCATTTCATGTTGGATTAATTTTAAATTTGTGTCAAAAATCTCAAAACTTGAACTTGACATGTTTAATAATTGTGTTAAAATGTATAAACACTAACATGACATGACCATTAAACGGGTTATCCGAACTTGACCTGCTTGATACGTTTAATAAATAAGTCGTTTTTATGTTAACACACATAATATGATCTGTTTAATCTGCTTAACACACATATCATGTTTCCACACTTGATGATTACCATTAAATATACAATATAATCATTCATCCAAAATTTTAAATAATTTTTTCACAAATAATATATCACATCTCATCAATGAAATTAACTAAAATACATTCAGGTTTCAACTCAAAAATTAAAGCAAGAACTATATTAGTATACTGTCATAATAATATTAAAAATTATACTGTCAATTATCATAGTAGAGGCAATAACTAATAAGTAATAATGTTAAAACCACATTAGTCATATATAATAGACAAACTATACTACTATAAATGAGTTAAACGTGTCTACAATAGATTAGGTCGGGTTTGTGTCTAAATCATGTTAATTCGTTTAAAATATACGGGTTAATCAGGTCAAAATCGGATCGACTTGATTTTGACATGAATCTGACGTGAATTTTTTTGTGTTTAAACGTGTTGACCCGTTTTAACCCATTGACTCGTTTAATTTTGTGACCGGCTCATTAATTTTATGTTCGGTTCGTATCATGTCAAAAATTGATAATCTTAATCGAAAATAACTATACAACACATGTTCTAGTTATGATATCCAAATTTCACTTTTTAATATTATATTTTTACTTTTCATCAAATATGAACGTGTCACATTTAACAGAAGAAGCCGAATTCATTATTCATTCAAATCTATTCCCTACCGTAGGTTGCAACTCTTTGTGTCCTTTTGCGTAGACCTCATATGATCTTGCAGGACCTATGCTACTCCAAGCAGTAAAAATGGCAGGACAAGCTCAATTTGTTATTCATTTTACATTTACATGTGGAAAATGGGGATAAAAGAGAAGGACGAGAGAGAATTCAAGACGATCATTCACAATTTTATTAACTGTGAATGATAAGTAGATGGGTCTTCCACTCATTTTAATCTGTCCATCAACTTCAATTTCTCTCCATTTTAATCTATACTCGTAAAATTGTACTAATCAATCCATTTTGTTCAAATCACATGATTAAACTAACAAAGAAGTCATAAAAATTATAATTCTTAAGACTGGTTTAGTGGTTAAGTTTGTAAGTTTAGAAAATGTATTAGATTTGATACTTCTCATACCTATTAAGGGTTGATCCAACTATTTTTATTGTGGTTGACTCAAAGTTTGAAGGAGTTAATCGACACAAGTCTGAAAAAAAAAGTTCTAAAAATTATAATTGACGAGGTACATTTTTAAAAACTGGCTTGGGCTTTTCCATTTGATTTTTTCTTCTTTGTCAAGTGCTTTTTGATTTGATTTGATTTTGCTTGAGAATGATTGGTGCAATTTTAAAGAGTATTAAATTAAAATGTTTAGGGGCGATTTGAAATAAGCAACAAAGTTCATGGGGCATCAATGTATTTTTTCTGAAACTTCCTACACCGTCAAAGCGATAGACGGCCCACATGCGGCCACGAGAATTTTCCGGCCACCAACTGTTCAGAGGGAAAGTTCGAATCCAAAGCGCCGACTCTCTGATTCCACAGTTTCCATCTCTCAATAAAAAGTCTACCTTTCTGTAAGGTTTTAGAGAGAGAGAGAGTGTGTGGCAGGTGAAATTAATACACTCATTGAATGCTCTCAACGACACAAAACTGATGGAATTCAATTCTGTTGCAGCTAACCTGGTCCCATCTCTCTTTGAGGTATGTGTATGGTTAGTGTTTCCACTTCACATTCCCTTATTCATTACAATTCTTCATGTTCAAAAATCTTCACAAAATATAGTTAATTCATAAGCTAATACATGCCCACTAAAGAACCCACCCTCTCTATTGGTTCCTTCTCATTGATTTGAGTCATTTTCCCTCATACCCACCTCCCAATTTTCAGCACATAATCTCTGTCGGATACCATTTATATCATATTTGGCTACCATTTATACATACATGTATATGGAATAGAGGAATGTGAGAGTTTTGGTGTCTTGTTGACATTCAAGGAAGAAAAGTAATGGTTGGTCATGCTGTAGATGAAGATGAGGAGAGAGCTAACAGGAGAAAAAATGGGGATTCTCGGGCATGTACACATGGTCATGCCCATCACAGGCGGTCTAAGAGGTGCATTTCATTCAATTTTCTTTGGAAACTCTTCTCTTGATTGGTGAGGAGGATCCGAGAGTATCTTGTGGGTTTTCACTAGCTTTTCCAAGGCTGTGAAGAATAGTATGATGAACTAGGATTTGAATGAAGTTTTGTCAAGAAAAAGAAAATTGTGATTGATCCGTAACTGTAGGGATGAGGCCGTTTGAGTTTCAGTTTCACCATGTTTTTGAACTGTAGTCAATAGCTTTGGACTTCTTGCTGTCCCAAAAGCTCATGCCATTACTAGTTAGTAGTTCTATTACGCAGCTATTATCTTCATAATGCATAGCAGGATAAGACCATTTGTCATGTCTGCTTCTGAAACTAACAAGTATATATGCCTTTTGTTTCTAGTGCTTCTGACAGGAACTTGGAACTTTCGAAGAGTAAAATATTGCGTTCCATAAGAAAAGACCTGGATGAATCACCTGTAAGAATACTATAAATTTTACTTCAATTCATGATCAGTTCATATAGTTTGTTCATTTTACATCCAGACAGTGCTTTAATTCCGAAATGTCCAGCATTTTTCAATCTTATGCAGTGTTGTGATGATCAAGGTGAACACAAAATGACTTAATTTTCTCACTCATACCATTTAATCTAACAGCAGTTGCCACGTTCAACAAGGAATTGCAGGGCACAGAGTCCGTTTCATGAATATGCCATTAATACCAGCACAGATGCTATATCAAACCAGAGAGTCTCCTTGGAAAAAGATGTAAGTATGGAAATTTCATGTCTATCTTTAACATCTTTCTCGAACGGAATGGTTGTTTGAAGTCAACTACTTGTATTGCATAAATATAATATCAAGTGGATTAACAACTCACAAATTCCTCTATGGGATGATTTGTAATTTGGTCTCTGGTTATTCTCGTTTTGAATTTTATTATGAATACTAAAAAGTAATAAAGTAGAAGAATAGTTCCTAGGTTCCTATTCCATAAATCTATGGAGATCCAGTTTGTTCGCATCTAGGGTTCAAACTTACTTTTGTACTAACTATCATTGCCTTGTTAATTATTTAGTTGTTTGAAAAAAGCTATCTCTGCTTTGAATGATCATTGCAAGTAGAACTGTCATGCTTTAAACCAATATATATCAATGGATGTGTATAGATCTGCAAGTTCTCACTGGATTGGCATTCTCATAAGACTGTTTGCTATCTGAGAGAACTTTTGCGGACAAAGAATACTGCAAGGATGCTCTTCTTTGTCCTAGCATGATTCAATAACCCCAAATCTTGTCAAATATAACAGATTCATATTGAACCTCACCTGCAGATAACATTGCTTTTAAAGGTATAAAGTTTGTTTCATAATTGATGAACCAATTTGCAGATTGAGCAGCTACAATTGCACTTGCAGCAAGAGAAATCCATGCGAATGTTGCTTGAGAGGGCAATGGGCCGAGCTTCTAGTACTTTGTCTCCTGGACATAGGCATTTTTCCACTCAGGTAAGTTTGATATAAGATGACAAATCTTTAATTTGATTTATTTCTTCTTTTATTTACAAAGCAGAATTTTTTTACTTTATTGTTTGAACATTAGCTACTGTTATGGAATTTATCAATGTAGCAAAGCCAATTTTACTTTCCCATACTCATCCAGTATCCTAATGATGTAATTCCGATAACTCAATAAAATATCAGCATGGTCGAGTGGCCTTGGTTCCATCCATCCAATAAGTGGATTCCTGTTATCCAGCTCTTATGATCACCCAGAGAAAATTAGTTGGAAAAACAATCAGCTGATGCCAATGCTACAACTTGAGTTCACTACTTTGTTCCATTTTTCTTTGTGGACCCCCTTCCCTTGTTGAAAGGTTATATGTATGTGAGCTTGTGACCAGAAGACAAGTTAAAAAGTATTTAACTTGCTCAGTGTCACGTAACCAGGTCCAAAATTTTGAATTGTGAAGAGGAGAGGATTGAGGGTTTAAAGGCATAACCCATCAGACTCAGAATCACCTTTTAGGGGGTTTATATTTGCATTGAGCTAATCTGTTCTTCACGTTGCTCAAAAGAGGGTTATAAAGCATATGCATGCTTTCTCAATACTGACCAAGTCTTTTCAATAGCATACTTTGTCAAACTTGTGCACTCAGCAATTGTTTTTTTCATAGATATTCACCGCATTTTGCATCGGGGCCTTTTTTAATCTATGAGCCTCAAATGTGATGAATATAGTGAAAAATAACACCCAAGTTCTGGCTTAATAGACGAAGGAGTTGATAGCTGAAATTGAATTGCTTGAAGAAGAGGTTGCAAACCGCGAGCAGCATGTTCTGTCCCTGTACAGGAGCATTTTTGAACATAGTGTTAGTCGGCCACCTTCTGGACAAAGCTCAGTCATGGCTTCCCCAGCTCACCCAAAGAAGGAATCAAGAAAACACCCAAGTATAATTTCAAGTGCTTTTTGTTCCTCAAAAAATTTTCCATTTAGACCTTTCCAAGCTCTGGCCACGATAAATGACTCGGGGAAAAGAAACTTGTTTCAGTCTAAGACAAGGCATGCTTCATTGTTTAAGGGCAAAGCAAACATCCATTTTGAGAAGACCTGTTCAGATCATGTTAAGGTATGCTAACTATTTCACTTTTCATAATAAAAGTGATATTTTTTGTGGTTTAGCATCTTAGTTGCTTCAAATCTATTCTTGAATTCAACACAACTCTCTTTCATCGGACTAAACAGTCAGGTAATGCGCAGAACTGAATCACATACTTCATAGATATAATTATAGTGTAACCACCGGAAAAGGGTGCTTGATGACACTATACTTCCTGTCCATTTAGGGTGACCTAGTCAGGTCCTCAATACTTGTGTCACTGCATCATGCAATGCTTACTGTTGAGTTAATTGATCTGTGTTTAAAATTGCTTTGATAAACGAAAATGGAATGTTTTTTCTGCCCATCAGTTTGGATGTTCAAACATCTAAATGTGTGCACAACTGCACATAATACACTAAAACTCATGTTTCGTTACACTGATGGTCTGCTATATTACATTACTCCCATATCCAAACTGATTCATCTCATTTGTTTGAGACAGCGACAAGATCAGCGACCGACTGTGGTAAAAGCTCCTGTACTGCAAACTCTTAAAGACCATCTCTATCAGTGTCCAAGCAAGTTGTCTGAGGAAATGGTTAGGTGTATGGCTACAGTATACTACGGCCTCCGAACTTCAGCATCTGAAAATTCTGAACAAAAGCGATCACCTTTGTTGTCAAGGTCATCCACTAATGTAAAGCTTCCACGACATAGTACTGGTGTAGCCAGGGACTGGTCTTGCAACTCCATAGTTGAAATATTGCGGATATCAACTGATAAGAACAACTTCTCTTGTGCATCTTATGCCATCAACAACTACAGGTGAATTCCTCATGCATCAAAATGGTGGAAAAAATATGGGAAGTAAAACACGGGGGAGTTGATTCTTGTCTTTTGCGTCATGTCCATTAAGGTTTATAATGGAAGAGGCTCACTTGAAATCCTATCTATCCACTAGAATTCTCATTCAGGGGCCCCAGTTCAAATGGATTAGTACCGTCTAGCTTTAGACTATATATTTCCAGATGGTTCCTCCTCCCTTTTTTTCCTCTTCCCAAAGAGGAAAATAAGGGCTTCAAGGCTTTTTGAGTTGTTATACGTACTAAGTTAGATTTGTTGATCTTGGTTCTAATACAGACCATAAATATAGGGAGCAGGTCTACATCACGTTCTTATTATCAGGTGTATTCATAGGTCCCAGGTTGTTTCAGATGTGAATTTTCAGAGATTAAACAGTTAATTAACCTGGATTTCTCTATTTCATGTCTCCATGTCCATAAAGTAGATAGAACGCTCCAACAATATACAAATAGCATTGAAGTGAGGACGCCCTACTTGTATAATAAATAAAATGAATTATTCAAATTTATGTAAGTCTACAATTTTGAGATCACAAAGTGGATCATTCCTTTTAGCATGCAGTGATCCTCCAGTTTGCTGTGTTCATGTCTAGTTGAGGTCAGTATGAATGTTAGCATCACATCAGGCACACACACACACACACACAAACAAAAGCACACACAAAAGGAAAATAATAAAGAGAAGCGGAAATTAAAAAAAAAAATTTTCACATATCCAATTTCACTAGAATGTTGAGTGCTTCAAATCAGAAATGATAGTGCTTATGAGATGGTTAGAAAATGTTCCATCTGGTTGGTTTTCTTTTCTTTACTCCAGTTGAAACAACATGGGTATATTCAGATGATGGAATCACAAAGTTTCAGAAAATTTAAAGGATAAGTAGTGAGAGTTTGATGGGCAGGAGCTACTTCTATTGTGTAAACATAGAAACCCTCACTCAGGTTTCATGAAACTAATCTTGACCCCCTTTGTGGTTTCTAGAATTAAATTTAGCTCCTTTCTGTGGGGTTTGTCTTAAGGAAAACATTTCATTTTCTGAAAAATAGAATTATGCGTATTGAGGGTTAAAATTCATTGTACAGCGCATCTTGTTTTGTGTTGTGGGGGGGGGGGGGGGGGAGGGGTTAAAGTGTTAGTTTTAGAAACCCTTACAGAGTCTGTATGTTGCCTACACCCTATAGTTCTCCTTCTTTAACCGTGTTTTTCCTGGTGGTGAAGGGTTGATAATACATGACATGCTATTGTGCATTATTTTGAGGGTGGCCATGCTGCTCCAAATTCTTCGTACTCTTTTCATGACCTCTCCTCTGAAGGGATTTGCATCTGGATAAATTAGATGTCCTTTTATTTTAACATGATCCTCTCCTTTTTTACTGTTTCAGACTTCTAGTGGAACAACTGGAAAGGGTGAATGTGAGGCGGATGGAAACCAATGCCCAGACTGCATTTTGGATCAACTTGTACAATTCCTTAGTTATGCATGTAAATGTTGCATAACTGGTAAACAAGCTGTCTTCCCAATGTTGTACTTTCTGATATCTCTACTCACATGCCTTTCTCCTTTGTCTCATTCAGGCATATATAGCTTATGGAATACCCCAAAGCTCTCTAAGAAGGTTAGCCATGTTTCACAAGGTAGTGCAATTCTTTGTTTAAAATCCATCATGAATGTTGCATTAGCTGGTTTGGATTGATCTTTCACTTTCCATAGCACTTGTGGGTTGTGGCCAGTGGTGAGAGTACTTCTAAATTATGGTGCAAATATTCCCCTCCCACCCCTAGAGAGAGAGAGAAAACCTTTAGAAACATTTGAGAAATTAAAAATGTCTTTGAGGTTTGATATTGTCATCTGTTCAGTTACACTTGAATCTAATGCTGCAAGTATGACGGAGTTGGTGAAATGTGTTTTAAGTGATCAAATCAAATATAAATCAACTAAAACTTTTTCTTCTTTGTCTCAATCCTCCATGGAGTCTATGCTGAAATGAGCAATGAAAGAGACAACCAGTATCAGTGACAGCTGATATCTAAAATTCAAATTTTCTGTTTTAACGATATCATTCTGTATCTCTTTGTATTACTAACATAATTGATCCAATCTGGGCCAAAATTCCAAGGACAAAATTCTTTTATAAAAGAGTTCAATGAGCTTTCTGTGGGTGCTAATGATTGACCTCTTTAGTTATATTCTTATTTTCACATATTCTATTGTAAATAACTGCTGGGTTTCTCTCTGTATAGTGCAGGCTGCTTACAACGTTGGAGGTCACATCATTAGTGCAAATGCCATTGAGCAGTCAATATTTTGCTTCCGAACACCCCGAGTTGGACGGGTACTACCTTACTCTCATATTTTTTTTTTTAGGTTATCCAAAAGGCACCCCGCACCAACATGGTGCCTGTTCTTGAATTGACCCACTTTTATTAACAAAATATGTTTAGAAAAAAAAAAATATATGTTGAATGCCTATAGTTCCACAAGCTGGTTTCTGGTTCTGGTCGGCTGTGGGTTTTCACATTACCCAAACAACATGCATATGCCTTGTGCCATGGGTTGTATAAGAAAAAAAAAAAAATGAAACTAGTGGTTATGTTTGCTAGTTAGAAAAAACAAATATGTTGAATGCCTATAGTTCCATAAGCTGGTTTCTGGTTCTGGTCAGCTGTGGGTTTTCTCATGTACCCAAACAACATGCATATGCCTTGTGCCATGATTTATCTTCTTTTCTTGCCAAAAGAGCATGGATGAAGGTTGATTTTAACTTTTTAGTTCAGCAGTGAGACAAGGGCCTTTGCATAGTCCAGAGGTAAAACCTCGTGCTAACAACCATGAAGTAGTGAGTTCAAACTTGAGACTAATCACATTGTGCGGATAACATCAAACATTAAATCTCTTCCTGGGGCATCCCTCCTGGCACCCTCTCTTAACATGAACAAACCAAGGCAATGGGATAATCATCTAGTTTTGACATTTATATGTAGCAACCCACATCTTGCACTGACGTGTAAACTAAATCCAAAGATGTTGAAGTTCCCACCATTAGTTATTTCAAAATGGAAAAATTAAGACCTTTTCTTGCACAAATGACAGTGGCTTGAAACCATCCTATCAACTGCAATGAGGAAAAAATCGGGAGAAGAAAGACAATGCATCAGTTCGAAATTCAGTCTTCACAATTGCCAACCCCTTGTTTGCTTCGCCCTTTGCACTGGTGCTTTCTCTGAACCTGTGGTAACTTCTTGATTCCATGACCGATTTTTATTTTCATATTCATATGGTAGTTTAAATGCAATGAATTGGGAACTGCATTTCTTGCATCATTATTAGTGCATAGTAATTTGGTCCAACTACACTGGGTTTTTGATCAAGTCTGGTTATAAATTGAAAATATGTCCACCTCAGCTGAAGTTTTTCATATATTGGGACTGTTTGGAGCTAGTTTTTTGAGGTGAAAATTATGCGGTTTGAAAAACTTTGCAAAAATATCATACTTAACAAAGTCCTCCAAAACCTTTTGGGATATTCTTTCAAAAGCTGAAAAAAGTCCGTTTGGGATGACTTTCTAGCTTTTTATATCAAAATAAAAACATAATTACATGTATGTATAGTAGTTCCTAAAATATGAATTTTAAATTTTTTTACTTCATTAATAATATTTTATGAATATAATAAACTAAAAAGATATGTGGGACCCGTGACAAAACTCCAAAAAAGGGGAAGAAAAGTTCACAAAATCACCTTCTTGAATCAGTCTAAATAAGTCTTTTTGGATCCAAAAAACTGTTGTATAAACTGATACAAAAGCCAATGTCCAAACACACCTGACTTATTTTACTACAAATCCTGTAAAAGCTACCTATTTAAGTTAGCTCCAAACAAGCCCATTGTGTGTTTGGGTGTCACACAGAAGTTGAGCTTGTCCACAGTGATGTTGACTATGTTTTGGCTCTGTTTTCATCTGGCTTTTTTCGGAACATGGCAATCGAAACTTGTATAGATAACATCATCAACATATAATTTCGCTGTCATCACAATGACTACATATTATGCTAACCAATATTGTTGTTTATTGGCTGGAAATGGTAACTGGACCAGTTTCGACAGGATGTTTCAAAAGTTATTCCATGTTATTTTTTCAAGCAACCTTTAGCAAAATGACTACCATTTCTTTTCCTGCTTTGACAATTCAAGCAGAATGACCATGGTTGACAAAATAATTGTAATGGCCTCTCGGATGCAATTTTGATGAAGGGTGTCTAAAATTGTGAGTGAAAAAAGGGCTTAATTTCTGCTTAATACTTCTGTTTCAACCTCCGACATAACCATCCCCATTGTTTCTTCATGGATGCACATATATTTCTTTTAACAATTTATTCACTAGTGTGATTGTTCTTCTTCAAAAGAGTTCAGCAACTTACTAATTTCAAGTCAGTCACCTTGGAGTTGCCTCCACATACACTTTCCTTTGTAACACCCATGTTTGAGCAAATTGTATTGAAAATATTGTTTTTTTCCTTTTTTAAAGCTAAAAGTCTACACTGCATCAAATATTCAAGAGGAACTGGAAATAGCAAAAAGGGAATTTCTTCAAGCAAATATAGTCGTGAAGAAGTCCAAGAAAGTGTTCCTTCCACGGGTGCTTGAAAGATTTGCAAAGGAAGCGTCTATAGCCTCTGATGATCTTCTCAAGTGGGTGTTGGAAAATGTTGATAAGAAGCTCTATGATTCAATACGGAAATGCATTGATAGGAAAAGCAGTAGGAAATCATCTAAGATTGTAGAATGGTTGCCTTACAGTTCAAGGTTCCGGTATGTGTTATCTAAAGATTTAGCAGAAAAACCTTGGTGGGAGTGAGATTCTTCATCCAAGCTTACAGGAACCTACTCTGTCCTGAGCTTTTTAGTATAGCTAGGCTGCATACGCTAATATTTGGATATCCATAAACTTGTAATTGAAATCTTTCTGATTGTCTGTTGGTCTTTTGATCTTTACCAATCTCTAATTCAATTTTATGATTCTGGAATTAATATGTTCAACCTTTGATAGGCTCTAACCTTGTTGGTGTATTATATATGTTATATCCAGTCGTATTTTGTTGGAGATTCTTACAGAGAGACAATGCTCTATAAAATTGTCCCTTGGGATGTATTCAGAGGACTAGTGCTAAAAGGAACATTAGTATTTGTAATGCTAATATTTCAGTTCCAAGTTGTGTTTAGTTGGGTTTGAGTTCAAGTAGCACAAAACCTTCAATTGACCATAGGACGAATTCTACACTTACTGAATTCATTATATTGAAGCGAAGTGTAAAAAGTTCATTCTCATTTGCATTTATTTGGTTTGGAAGTTCCAGAATGTTGTCTATGAATTTTTAACAAGGGTTTTCTTCTCCTGTTGTAAGAATTCGAATTAAAATTAAATAAATATAATATTATTTTAAGAGTTCTCCTAATACGAATAAAATGATAGTAGAAACTTAGAATAATTGTTAAAATATTGATTTTGAAGGTTAAGTTTCAAACGTATTTGACTTCCAGAGTAAATTGAGTTTTAAAGGTATTTAAGGTTGATAAGGGTAACTAAGTAAAAACATTAATTTTTTTAGATCAAAATAATATTATCATTGAATTTAGGAGATCTGAAAAATTTAGAATAGCCGTTTAGCATATATAGCAGTTCGGATGAATAAAATAGTAATTTTAGTGTTTCGAGTGTAAATTTACTTAAGTTTTGAGATAAATCATAAGACTAAATATTTTTAGGCTAAAATAACATTAAAAATGAATCCGAAACGTTGAAAAACCTTAGGGTAATTATATGGATCAAATTGATGATTTTTAATGACAAAACTGTAATTTTAGAAAAAAAATCTAAATTTCAGCCCATAAACAGTAATTTTTACGACTGCTGTGTTTAAAACACAGATTTCAGCCCATTTTCTTCCATTCTTTCATTCCACTCTCACCCCAAATCTCTTAGAACCTTAGGAGAAGATAAAGAGAAAAAAAAAGGGAAGAAAAAAGTCTCTAAAGCTTGAGTTTTGTTTGAAATTCTTGATTTCTATGTAGGGGTTTCTTCATTGAGATATATGTTATGAAATCATGGTTTCTTGATGTCCTTGCAAATCTATCATGTTTTGAATGAAGTTATGGTTTGATAACCATGAAATAATTGTTGTAATCTCAAAACTCTTGTTTCTTTCAAGAAAAAGAGATTTGTCTTGTTGATATTCCTTATTCTTGATTTCAAAACTCTAGTGTTTCGTTTGAACAATAAAAATATATGTTTGATGATCTCTTGCATATTTTTCTTGAATTTGCTCCGTTGGAAAAATACCTATGGAATTGGGGATTTTTGATTTGCTTGTGATTTGAGAAATTGGTTGTTATTGTATCTCTTGTGTGGATGTTTGGATGACTATGGGTGGCCGTTGATCGGGTATTGTAAAGTGGGTAGATACGTTTTTTACTAGTGCGGGTTTGAATTTTTTCTATCACCAAAGTGGGGTTGGTGCCTTGCGAGAACTAAACCACCATTTGCTCACGGGTATCGAGGCTGAGGGTTAGTATACTATTCCTGGGTTGGATTCGTCATTTTCAATTTGTTGGAATGCGCCCTTCCTAAAATTGTATATCCTTGAGAGGGTTTGAGTGTGTATGTGTGGGCCAGGATATTCTCGATGTGTTTATTCATACGATATCTTACATCATACCTGAGATACATTGTGGGCTATTGTTTATTGTGCAAATGATTGATTATGGTTTATTGTGGAAAAGAGTTTATTATGAACACGGTTATTTTGGAAATGGTAACTCGTTGGAATTGTTATGTTTGAGAATTAGTTTTACTTTTCATTTAAATTATTGTTATTGTATAAACTTGAGATCCATTGAAATATCTCTGTTTTCCTTCAAAAGTTATATATAATATTTGTAAAATGAGACCGACTATTTTGTATGTTTTTGAAATCTTGTTCGAGTTTAGGAGGATTTTCCTACGGAGCTTAGTGCTTATTCCTTACAAATAATATATTTTTCAAATTATAGTCTAGAAGAAGAGCTCGGAGTTGATGAGTCGGAAAGCTCCAATAGATGGGAACGTGAATCCTGAGGTGAACGTTTAGAGCTATATTCCCTTATGTTCTAGAGTAGGAAATTCATTTTGAGACAATGTGAAGTCTAATATTTTCGTTATTCTGTTGCAAGATAATAGTTGATTTTCGTTTGGATGTAATTGTCATAGTTGGACATATTATTTTAGATGATGTTGTATATATTGTAGATGATGAATGAAATTCTCTTTTGTTATGAAGTCCATTTAGTCGATTTCATGATGTGAATGATTTTAGATAGTAATGTCATCAAAGGAAAATTTTGGGGCGTTATAAATCGAATCCATATGGACTGTTTTAATGTAAAAGAAAAATTCCATGTGGTTATATGAGTATGGTTAAATGGATCCGGTGTGGTCAATATTTATTCATAAATGGATCCATTGTGGTTAATGTAGTATAATTGCACAAGTTGTCTTTTAGATAGAGCTTTCCGTACAAAGGAGACTATGCCCTCAAAATTTTGTTAAATTAAGGATCCCCGATTTTAGGGCATTACACATGTATTTCTTGCTTTGTTTTGTGATAGTTATGTGAACTTGTAACAACATATGTATACAAATAGATAGTGTTAAGCATCAAAGTAAAAAGGGGATATGTCAGTAACTTGGCATGGCAAAATACTCTTCGAGGGCATGAAATGTCTTTTTTTTTTTTGTCAGAATTTTTATAATAATGTATCTATTAGGTTCTTTGGTCGAAATTCGGTAAAACTTGATTCAAATATTGATAGAAAACGCAAAAGTGCCAACCACAATTATTAATATGAAAAAGTGTCTTTCTTGCACTCTCAATCTAGGTACTAGATTACCTAGTAAAAAATATTTAAAAATTATCATAAATCTCTCCTTTTCTTTTTTATTGCAATTTTTAGATTATTATATGATAATTTTTAAACTTTTCATATATAGAAAATAAATAAAAAGAGAGGATAGAAACGACATCTGTTATATCATGATAAATTAAATATAAAAAAAAATTGAATTTTTAAGATGCGAGAGTTTAGAACCAGGAGAAAGAGCGCTAACAGAGTAATAAGCTATTCAGTTGATCTCAAAGAGGCAACCCCCCCCCCCCCCCCCTCAATGGAAAAAGATAAATTAATTTGAGATAGGTACGAAATTCATATCCTAAGCCTGATGAACGGAGAGAGAGAGAGAATAATGTTCTCGATCATTGGGTAATCACCCTAAGAAAAAGTTGCATCCTTGGAAATGGGACTTGACTATGGTATAGAAAAAATAATTTTGATACTGTACCTCTAATTTTTATTATTTTAATTGATGTTTTTATTATTTTTATGAGTTATTTTATAATTTAAAAAATTATCATTTTTGTAGGTGATTTATTATTTTTGTGGATATTTTTACTATTTTTTTATACAACAAAATTTATCGCATTTATGTGTATTTTTATTATATTTATGAGTATTTTTATCACTGATATAAAAACTATTTTTTTTTATCATTTTTAGAGTACCACAACAATAAAAAAAAATTCATATATATTATAAAAATAATTACAACAGTGATAAATAAAAGTATGGTATAAAAAAATTTTTCTTCAACATCTCAATCAACTCCTTAGAAAGGAGGTAATAATTTGAGATGTGGGCCCAATTGCTATAATGAGTAATTTATCATTACACAACAATTTTTCATAGGGGTTATTGAGGCCGTAAAACCCCCCAAATCATAATTCTATAGCACTAAAGTTTATGCATTAAAATTTGTACTAAATCAATTGAATAAATGATAGAACCTTTGATTTAAAGACTATAAATGATTTAGTATAAATTTTAGTATACATAAAAAAAATTGATATTATATCTCCAAAATTTATTATTTAAAATAATATTTTTATAACTTTTGTGGGTTATTTAATAATCAAAAAATTTAACATTTTTGTAATAAATTTATTACCTTTGTTGGTATTCTGGAAGGGTTTCTAGAGTTTTGTAAGAATGTAATTTATAGATAAATCCAGTTTAATCCAAATATCAAATCAATCCAATTAACTCTAAATCAACTTATTACAAGTTTGTCGATCCTACAAACTTAGCCCTCAATTATCAACAATACCAAAATCCAAATGTAAAATTATCGTTATACATACATACACAATAAATTGGCAAAGTTTCTATGTTTACAACTCCTAAATTTCATTTACTTCTCGATGCCTTGCTGTGAATATGGTATCAAATCGTCTCCCACAGTAATTCCCATTTGTTTTAGGCATTGGTGCACCTGACCATTAGAAAAACCGGCATCATGCCTCCCCGTGTTTTAGCATTGTATTGATGATCCCATCCATGTAGCGACCGGTAGCAAGGTAATCCTTCACCCATAAGCTGCAAAACATAAATGAAACACAACAAATGGGACATGAAACTGTTTTTAAGAGAAAACAAAGGGAGAAAAAAATTAGTTAAGATCTTATCTTACATCACGATCAGGTACCAAAAATTGCTTTCCATCACCCTAGACAGGTCAAGTAAATGAGTCAAATAAAACTGAGCTCAAAAGGAAAGAGAGAAAGGGGGGGGGGGGGGATTTAAGCACAGATTTCACCAGGTGAAGTTTCTAGGATAAAAACTGAAACCAATATGAACAAGCATAGCGACATTGCATTGACCAACATTCGTGATAATTCGACTTTCTTGCAGAATTTTGTAGAATCAAATATACAAAATGTTGTTGTGTTTCTATGAACGAGCAAAAGTTAATGATCAATAATTTCTTTCAAATTAAATACATCCACGATGAAATGTATGTGAAGTTGGTTGACGTGCACAAACCCCATTAAGTATACAAGATAATCCTGTCGAAACATCTAGTGTAAACCACCATCAATGGTCTCACATATCCGACTTGTGCTCCTTGTATTTGGCACAACCTGCATAACAAAAATGCTATCAAGATTTCGTCATTATATAACAGTAGCTTGAGCAAGCTTTTGTAAAGAGAAAATCAATAAGCTGGTAAAGCTCACCCAAAAAGATAATGTCTGTGAGTCCTAGAAATTGACTAAACGGTTGTTTTAAAGTTGCCAATACTCGA